AGAACAGCAACTTTAAAATGCATTTAGCACAATAGGAATTCTTTTGCTGCCAGAAGTAACAAAAATAGGAGCAAGATGGAGTTCTGGTAACACATCATTTGGATCAGTGAGTTCCAGAAAAAAGAGTTTTCACTGTATTTGTAAGAAGAAATCATAACAGGTTTGGTTTTGGGGTTTTTTTGTTTGTGGTTTTTTTTTTTTTGACTCTGATCCATATGAACTGTTTTGAAGAATTGTGGATTCCTCTCTTGTTATTGTGCAGTAACTATCCAGGTCTTATCTGGGTTTAGGCATCCACGCTCCGTTAGCAACAGTTGTCCCCTTCCTGAAGCAGCAACTAAGCTAGGCCTAGGAGAGCAGAGCCTGCTCCTTCAAGGGCTGCCTGGGCTGGCTGCTCCTGGTTGATGCGGTGGCTGGGATGCTACCGCAGGAGACAGCTTTGGCCCCTCTGAATCTGGCAGCAGGTGAGAAGAGATCCTCACCTCTTGGGCTATGTTGGTCAGTCGAACGTTTTCTGTGTCCACTGAGGAAACAAAGAAGGCATTTCACAAGCCATGTCTGATAGATAAGCCATTAGTGGGATAATGCCTGATCTAAGACGTGCTTCCCATTGCAATACAGATGCTTTATTCTCTAGTTTTTGAACAGGTCATGAATGCTCATGGTTCTGTCACAAGCAATCCTCTAACAGGGAGAAGGAGGAAACATCTACCATGGGCACATTACCATGCACTGTGTGGTTTGTTGTCCCTTCTTCTGTATTAATAGCATTAATTATTCAAGTCCAAGCATGACCCTGGACTTAAAGAATCACTAGTTTAACATGTGACCCGTGTCAATTCAGATACGCTCCTAGAATGATTGTGTTCTCGTGGTACAAGGTTGATTTTTAAAAATTAATATGCAAAAATCTAACATAAAATCAAAGTACGCTTTCAGTCATGTGTTTGTATGCTGATTTTGGCAGCGGAGCTTCAAAGTTCTACTGCACTATTAAACAGTGATTTTTCCTCGCCTGTAGACTGAGATCCCCAAGTGTTTCTCTAGAAGAAATGATCATTTTTCATGTCTGTAGCTGTAATATGCAAAACTCAGTAAGGAGCACTGCTTGTCACTGTAAGGTTTGGATAAGAACAGAGTTGAAATGTCTCAGTTTATGCCAGGATCATACCCCTAGCTGACAAGCAATTACCTGCCATCAAATAGGTTAAATGCAAATTTTTGTCTGAATGGCAATAATTGAAGCTTTTACCTTCTGCCAAGAGCACTTGTTCTCGTAGTCTTAACTTGTGGTAGAAAGTCCCTTTCTGAAGGTCCGTCTGTGTGTTTGGAGAGGTGACTGTTGCAGCAGAGATTTCCTTTGTTATTCCTAAGCACCGCAAGTCTCACAGTTTGCCTCAGGCCCAAGCACTGGGGACTGAGCCAGGATTGTTAAAGCCGGAGGCTCTGTAATCAATGGCTACAACATTCAACTGCGGATTGCCCAGTGGGGCTGTTAACCCATTTGGCTTTACCTACTGATGCTATATCCCACAGTTGGTTTATAGGAGACAGGCGCACATTGTTTATCCTGGTCTGGGGATTAACTAAGAAGAAAAGGGCAAACATATTCTGAATCTTTTTCATGGCCACTTAATGGCCCTAGCAGGCTGAACAAGATGGTTTCTTGTCTCTTGCTCCTCCTCCAGACCCTATGCCCATACAAATATTCCCCAGACATGACTCAACAGAGCTGCAGTCAATGTAAATACAGAGAAGGGAAGTTGTGCTTACTACTCTGTCATCCTGCGATGACAGTGCTATGTGAGGAATGCGCCCTAATTACGGTCAAAAACCTGCCTGACTTGCTGTTAATATAGTAGCGTGGTGCCAACCTACAGCAAGGGGGGAGTGCAAAGAAGGAGTCTCCAGATGCACGTCTAAACCTGTTTTGAGGGGAGCGAGATCACGTGCAATGGCCTTTGTGGAGGTGCTGCGGCACCACTCACTGTATGTAGAGCACTGAAGGGAAAAGAGAGGGGCAAACAATTTCCTACGGCTGGGAAAGCAAAGGAGAAAGAGCTTAAATCTGAAATTTTACAGCAATGTTTATTAAGAATCCAAGTTTCTGCTGTGAAGGAGACACTTGACTCTGGAGGATTCAGAGTCGTGTTTGAAGAGCTGATAGTTCTTCAGAGTCTTTCAGTTTGAAAACAGACTGAAAACCCTCAAGGTCCTGTTTAAGCCTCCTACAGGAGAGTCATGGCTTTCACCGTCACTTAAGATCTGACATGATTGTTTACTTAGAGCCTTCATGTGCAAACAAGGTGAGGAATTGCAGCTTGAGGTAGCAGGGCCAAGTTTGCTCTGAAGTCCTGAGCAAGTGTGGGAGCACAGCCTGGCCTCTCAGGCTCTTGAAAATCTGTGGCTAGCCAGTATCAGATGCCTGCGGAGTTTTTGTAGATCCTTTGGCAGAGAGGAGAATGAAATCTGCTCCAAAAACCAAAGATGCTCTAAAGAAGCTAGTGAATTTATATAATGGATACAGAACTGTCTTCTCCCTGGATGAGAGGGGAGACTGAAAGCATCTCACTACAGCAGGGAAGGGAAGGGATAGATCTGAGAACTTCACAAGAATATAGTGTCCCGATACTGCTCGGAGATAGGAGGCAGAACATTAAGCGGCCTTAAGCTAAAGGGCAGAACTGAGCCTTGGATCCCCAGTAACAACACTGCATCAGCTCTATACTCCACGCATGAGAAATGTTAGGAGTAAGCAATGAGCACAGGGGAAAAAACGAGGCAGCAAGATGATCCCATTCAGTGGTAGAGGAATGCACACAAATTTGTATCAAGAACCAGATCCTTATATAGCAGATGATATCTTACGTATGCTGCTAACTCCTTTCTGTAATTAGTCCTTCTCTTATTTTCTTCAGTGGGATCTAAATAAATGTCCAGTTTCTATCTTTTTCACCGTGGAAAATCTGACCAGCTGATAAGTGATGTTGCTTTAAGACGTATCAGCCCTGCAGACCTTTGCTAGCTTTTGTTTTAGTGTTCAATGTTGCTTTCTCATAGTAACTCCCTTTCTTTCTGCTAATTTCTGCTTTTTATTCTTAATTATATGTAACAGCTACAGAGAGCCCTCAGTAATCTGCAGGCAGACTTCAGCTCTTTGGGTTGTTAGGCAACAGAAGAATTGAAACAGTAAAAAGTTTTTGAAAACTTACCTCAGCCAAATACGTAACCATACTCAAAGTAATATCAGCAAATGCTTCATGAAGGTAACGGCAAACCACATTTACCCAGGTAGCACAGTCCCTTGTATAGCTGTGTGTTTTATAAAGGGTCATGACATGCGCAAGATTTGAGAGTTTGGGGTTCTTCTCCTCCAAACAAACCTAATTAAATACAAATGTCAAAACACATTAAGAAAAAGGCAGCTGCATTTACAGGATTTGAGGATGTACAAAACAGTCAATAACTTTGATACCTGAGCAATCCTTTCGGCTATATCTTTACAAAACTGGTTTGGGCTGTCAAAATGCTGAATTAAATGGGGCAGGAGACACAAAACATTCAGTGGAAATCCTAGAACAGGAAAATACAGAATAAAATGTATATTTTGGTCAGCAAGAGCCACAGTGATCTTTAAGCTGGTGTCTCGTGGGAGGTCATGGTTTCACTATTACATTAGTTATAAACTCACCCAGACTCTCTCAAGTTGTTCACACCAGTGGCCATGCCACATTGGTCTTAAAGGGGCCTTAATTTGAAAATCCAGTATATCATTTAGGCAACAGTACTGTTATACAGCATGAACCTACTTCTGCAAACACCACTGCACAAACAGGTATTTCTTTACAGGATGAAATATCTCACAAAAGTATGTATTTTATTCCTGTTAGAGAGTATGTTTGTCTTTTCCACTTAACTGGCTTATTGACAGTCTTAACTGGTGGCATTTTCATTACTGCTGCTAAAACACAAAAAGAAATTCAGTGAGTATTGATAAATGAACAACTGTTTTGGTCAGGCTGCTAGGCACAGCTCCCATTGTTTTATACTGTTCAAATTATTAATAATAAGGAATCAAAATTCTGATGTAACTACTCAAATGGGGGTTTTTGAAGCTCTTCTGCACGAACTCATAGCTCGAGGTAGTTGATGAACCACAGGCAGCGACTGTAACGGGGAGCTATAACAAACGCTGCTCTTTTGTTCAGGTGGGAGCTCAGAGCTCAGAGCTCAAGAAATTGTATCTGGACACAATCTGTTTTTTGAAATGAAAGAATCTGATCTATGAAAATAACTTTCTAGCCACTCATTCCCTCTCATTCTACACAATTAAACAAGTTGCCTAAGTTAGGAGGGTAATTTCCCTAGGCCTCCTCTATCCTCAGGGAAAAGAAAAGATACCTCCAGATGGTACCGTCCCAGCCCACGTGTGAATTGTGGAACCGAAGTCTGGGACACAGGCACCACACAGGTGCCTAGAGATGGGCAGGCTGGCCATGGCATTCATCCCCTCACTCTCTGTCTAAGCTTGTTATGACTTAGTTCTGAAGCCTGCACAGTGGTCTTAATATCTGTGTTTCTGACTGAAACAGAGTAGTAAAAATCTGGAACAATACAGAAACTCGCTTAAAGAAATATAATTAAGAAGTGGTCACAACCTCAGCTAAATAATTGGGAATTTCAAAATGTTACCTTATAGACTTATAATCCAGGCCTCTCTCCTCACTCACTAATGTGCTATTGCAGTTTATCTAAAAAAGTGGTCATCTAAAAGTTTATCTAAAAAGCTTTCAATATTTATATTTCTAGGGAAAAATCCCATGAAGCACTAATTTAAAATCAAGTAATTTGAAATATTCTGAAAATAATTCAGTGGAAAAACTGGCCAAAAGAGGCTCTAGAAAATTTGACAGTATCTCCTTACATATGTTTACTTTGTCAGCACTCAGAAACTTCATATACTGCTAAGCCCTAGAAATGAAATGTTAAATAACACACGACCGCTCTCCTCCAAAACCTTATTGTGCAACAGATTCGCTTTTCAGAAACATGTTATATTGCTGTAAAATTTCCAAAAAGCCCACCCAGCTCAAAGCAAAAGTGCATTATGCAATATTAGAAGAGAAAGAAAAGTGCCATTTTTGGCACGTAAGTAGCCTAATGAGGTCTGTCATCAAATGTCAAAGCACGAAAAGTGAAAGAGCGGAAAGTAGACTGGTTTTACCTATAGCTTGAGAGGAATCCACCATGGATATTCGAGACACTGGTGTCAGCAAACTAAAGAGCTGCAGTGTGAGGTCAGTGGTAGTAAGGGAGGTGAATCCTTTCAGGAGTAGCTGCTGAAGCCCTGAGAAGTCTGCCCACTTCAGCTGCCCTTGCAACTTCTCCAACTTCTCCCGGTTTTCAGCTTTATCTAGTGGCAAATGAGCCAGAAGTTTATTCAGTAACCGTAATGCCATTAGATACTCGAACTCAAAATCTGATTCCATCAAAGCCACAGCAACCCAGAAGATGGTGGCCAGTAGGTTGGTTGGATTGTTAATATGGGATGGGTCAGTGAGACTGTCCTTTAGAGAAGATGAACTTCTTGTTTTGGAGGACAGGCCTTGTTGGGTGCATGCCTGAATTCTGTCTAGTGTGGCACTGCGTGGTGGGTCCGAGGACTTGTCCACATCTCCAAACTTTTTGGGTACAGAGAAGCTCCTCTGGTGCCTGCTTCGTTCAGCGGTGGCCGTGTTACCACTTGCAGGGTTGACGTTCAGCTGTCCTGTGCTCTTCCGGTTTGCCGTCAGTTTGGTGCTTGATGTTAAATCTGGCGAAGATGAGCTGAAACCAAAATATGTAACATACATTGCAATGCGAGAATGCACAGCTTGAAACCTGTACATACTGGATGCAAGTTAGGTATTTATCAAACTGTAAATAAATTTTTAAATAGGAAAAGTAAAACACCAAACTATCTATTGCAGTCTGTTTTGTTTTTTTTTTCCAGAAGTGCCCACAGACATGACTGAAGTGAGATTCAGGTGGCACTGCACCAAACCAGAGCAGGATAGTCTACAGTCTAGGTAGGTAAGAAGGACATGGGGATAAGAAACACAGAGCTGTGAAGTGACTTGTGGAAATACCCATATAATGGGGCAGTGGTAGAACTGAAAATAATTTTGGTCTTTAAAATGCCCTCATCAATGGAGCAAACCCCGAACTTGGCACAGCTGGCAGGCAAAATGCACAATGGCTTACTGGCTAATGTGAGAACTGTGGGCAGAAAAACCAGGGCATCTTAAGCAAAACCACAAAGATGTCACTTTATCCTCAAGAAACCTGTCATGTGGCTACCTAAGTTCTTGCTGGTACAGGTCCTTCAGAAACCTTGTTGTCGTTGCATCCTCCCCTGCCTGTATCCTAGGATCTCTTCAAGATGGGTTACCGAAAACAGAGGTGATTCAATTTCAGTGACTGATGCCTCCTCATGGACTATCATGGGACGATCCAGACAATCCTTATCAGTTATCTGTACAGATGAACATGCCGTCTTGATATATGCAAGGGGTTTGTCCTGGAGAACAGCTAATTCCTGACTCTCTGGTCTCGTTCCTACCTCATATACTATGAGTCCCTACTGTCTATCACATTTGAAGAGGATCTTACGGAATCAATAGTGTCGGGGTAAAGAATATTGCATCCCACTGCTTTCTGAAGTGTTTCTTATTTTCTGTTCCATCTTTCGCTTTCCTGAAATGTGCACTAAAGAAAGGTAAATAGCTTAGTTTAGGAAGCAGAAGCTGTATTTCTCCACTTCTGCTCTGTCACAAGTCAGTACTTGTGTTCTGCCATTGCAGTAGAATACACAGCACCCAGCCTACCACCTTCAGAAATGATAGCCCTTGTATTTTTGTTCTGCATGTAAAGCGTGGTATCTTCTGGACATTTTTCAAAAATGCTCCCTATTCTGTCATTGCTACTAGGAGTCAGATAGACCTTAATCTCCCTCAGTACTGTCAATAGCTGTGTTACAGAAGGAGCCTGCAATTTCCCCCCATGTACAAAGGTCTAGTTTAAGGCCAAGGGTTTCACAAAGATGGTCTACATGTCTGGCAAAATCTATGGATTATGTACACATGGGATAAAATTCTCCCTAGTTGTATTGAGTAGAATAAACCATGACCATTTACTTCTTGGGGAATACTTCATCAGAGAATGACAGGTTGTATGAAACCAATATTACAAAAAATGTGTTTCTTCCTAGATACGTTTTCTAGTATATGGTACAGAGGTGCAAAAAATACAATGTTTTTAAAGGATGCTAAAGGAAGTTATAGCCAAGTGGCAGCAAGGCAGAATTTACAATGCATTGTAAAGTTCCATTAGTTGTATCAATGTTATTTCAACTATTGCAAAATTTGGCTGAGATGTGCTCTTAATAACAGTTCTCTGAAGGTTACAAATGAGTTCAGTCTTATCAAAATTATTTTGTGTTGTCAGACTGCAGAACTGCACACTTAATATCATGAGACACTGAAAAAAAGAGATACAGTTAGGAGAACATGCTCTTACCGTGATAACACCGTCAAAAGATCACTGTTCTTCAAACAGTCAGACAGATTATCCACAGCAGCTTCCAAAGTAAGTAGTGCCTCCATTACATACCCCTGTCAATGCAGGAGGTTAACCATTTCAACAAAGACATTCAAAATAGGGAACATTTAAAAATCTTCATTTCATAAAAGGAATAGGCACCTACCGAAAACCTATAATTTCTCCTGAAAAAAGAACAACATTCACAGCAGTGCCACTGCCCTGAACATTAAAATGTCACTACAAATATGTTTTATTTTCTGCCTCTGAATGATCTATGAAAGCATGCAAGAAGGGCACATATCTCATCAGGGGATTGGAAACAGCATACAGACCCTCTGACTTGCAGGTCACTGATTTAAATTCTGCACAAACAGTTGTGACAGAATATTGCTGTCATCTTGTGGCAGTTTCATTACCTAAGTAAAATATGGAGGTGATGTCAGTCTATTTCTTATTAAGAGCTAGCAGTTCTCTTTCTTGAGTCTTGAATCTTGCAATAAATAGTCTCTAATTGTAAAATTTCAGTCTGTTTAGCTAAACCAAGGGAACATCATAGTTCACTAAGACAGGACTGGATCAAATTGGGTCAATGTAAGTTTTGTATTTTGTATTTGTGGATTTCTTTATTCCAAAAGATGTTAACACTTGAGAAATGAAGTAGTGTCTACTTCACGTTGTCAGATTACATTAGCAGATAGGATAGGTTCCTTAAGCACAAATTAATGATGTGAAAAGGGAAAAAATGGTCATCATAAAGATTTCATTTTGAGTGACATTTACTAGATGTTTTCTGGTTGTTTTCTTTAGAGTGATATAAGTTTGTAACAGCTTGATGAAGGTTTTGACAAGGTACATATGGATTCAGTAAACTCAGAGGTAACCTTTTCTAGGGCCACATTCTACTTTGCATCACTTGACTCCAAAACATCTTGTTAAAATGGTAATTTTAAATTAAGTATACATTAAATCAACAGTACTAAGAAGCATTATGTACACATGCATACCTGAATCTCATCTCCATGCTCTCCAATAACTTCCACCAATCTTGACAGGAGGTCAGACAACGCATGTGCAGAAAGGGGCTGCTTTAGGGCCCTGAATATCTGGAAAGAGCGACCCGCGTAATGTCTTGAAGAGCTTGAAAGAGCTGTTTGTAAAGCAACTTCACTCAGGTGCTGCTCCAAATGAAAACCTAAGCAAAAAAAAGCGTGTTACTTTTTTTTTTTTTTTAAATGACAGACATTACTGTGGGTCATAAACAGGCTGAGCCAAGTCCGTGGGGAGGATATGCACTGTAGTGTATCCTGCAAACCCTGTGAGAAATGGAGATGCAGAAATGTCTGTGTTTGGGAGAATTTCCCACTGTTTACCTTTATTTCACACAGAATGTAAGAAAATAAGCTGCAAAATGAAAATTCCCAGTCTGAAAATCTTTGTCAGCAAAAACCTGAAATTTTTAATCTGATTTAATTTTTTTTACAATTCCTGGACAAACTTTCAAGCCATCCACTATTCTTGGTGGCAGCAACACAGTAACTTCTGAACACTCCCAAACCTAAAGCCAGGCTGAATTAGGACTCTTTCTATTAGCTTCAGAAGGCTTTGGATAAGATCGTAAATATAAATACTGATGCTGCATTCTGCTCTGATCTTGGAAGATACTTAATTAGTGACTGTGGTGGTTTTCAAAATACAATCAGTACATTTCCTGAGCTCTAAAATATAATAAATTAAAACTAAACTTTTATTGCCAGAAGAAATTTAACAAAGTACATTTACTTAGTAACTGTCATGTGTTTTACCAACAGGACACAGAGGAACTTTCATCTGGTAGAATCAATCAAAAGGCTTTCTACCATCAGCTTTGAAGAAATGTTCGATTTAACATTCAGCCACAGTCCAATCTAACATGACTTTTTTAAAGCAATTCTTTCATATGTCATACATCCTTGTTAAGACATACAATATGTCGCACTTCTGCGTAAGCAGATCTACTAAGTCACAGGATAAGCATTCAGTGCGACCTCGAGGGAATATTCTATTAGTCATGAAAGGAAAAAAATTTGCTACCTGACTTGGAATCTTTAAATACAGATACAACATGACGCAGAAAATTAGTAAGCTGCTCAGCACTCTTGGTGTTCTGATTTTTGGGTGTGATATCTTCATGGCACCAAAGTGGACCAAACGCCCTTAAAGAAATACATAACAAAGTTCTTTGAGTTATCTGAAATAAATGTAGTCAGTTAAAATATATAAACTGTAAAGGCAATTGGATATTTCCACGGCCACAGCTTGGAAAACATACAACTAAACAGAATTTTATGAGCAAAATACAAGTAAATAAATATTCCCATGCTGTATTTTACAAAACCTCTTTTTTAAAATACAAGTTACACCATTTAGAGAGCAGTATAAACAAATCCCTGTTTTTTAATTTAACATTGCGTCTGGGATCTGCTGGCTGTAGTCGGCAGTTAATATTAGTTTCATCATGGCCTTTCACTATGCCCTGCACACTTCTTATCTGGTATTATAATAATAAAACTGTCTTCTTCCATTAGTTCACTGTTGAACATAATACTGTCAGTCAATTAAACATTTTATTCTTGTCAGGCAAGATTTCTTCTGTTGTTCCTGACACTGTAGTGCTTTTAAGTACCTACCTACTTCTCTAAGTATCAATAAAAGAGGAATGGGAGTCTGTAATTACTATAAAAGCTCGGTCATTTTCCTTTGAGTCTTTTAAGTTGCTATAGATAATTTTAGAGAAGATATGAAAGTATGCGTTTCAAGTACGAACGTATCCTCTGCTTATCTCCATTACCTGGTTGTCAGAAACTCAATTAATTTGTTTGCTTTCTCATCTGTTTCAGCAGCGGTGTCCATGTCCTCAACCTCTTGTGTAATCTGTGGGAGATTTCCACTGCTGCCTCCCAGACTGATACTGGAGGAGGTGGAGCTGGAGCTCAAGCCGGAGTCTGGCATCGGAGACGACTGGTATTCCCGCAGAAAGTCAAAGCCACCTGCCAGCCGAAAGGGAGGAGATGAAGATGGAATGCCCTGTTGGGCCGGCGTTACAGCTGAAAGTGTCTGCCAAGCAGCTCTTTTTAGAGTCAGCAGCAGAAACCTTCTATTGGGAAACACGGGGAAAGCTTGCAGAACACAACCACCCTCAAACGCTGATGGGAACGAAAATGGTACTGTGTTTCTAAAGGTGGAGAATGCAATATAAAATGAAAAATACCAAAGTCAAGATACTTTTTTTTTTTTCTGCATGAGGTCTACAGTACTTGAAAAAGAAATGTTTCAAGGCATTTAACATTCAGAAGTATGACGTTTTGTAAAGTGAATTTTGAAGTTGGCTAAGTTCATGCAAAGTTCAGCTCACCTCTCTGGACGAGTATGATGAGGAAAAAAACCTCTGCAGGGTGGAATTTTTAGGACAATGATATTGTCCTAATTTTACAGATGCAATGGAAACTAAGACTTTAAGACATTTAAAGCTTTTGTTCAACACCTTTAGTAACTGCAAACACTGGACTACTCATACGACATATTTTCAGCATTAAGATTAAGCATCTGACTAAGAGTTCTGCTAGATCAAAAGCTTGCTACGCAACTTCAGAGCTGAAATTAGAAACTAAGACCTCTTTTCTTAAAGTTAGACTGCTAGTCATCTTAGGCTGTATCTACAACAGAAAAACTGACCTTGCGAGAAGACTGGGAGCAGGAGGGGCCTCTCTACTGACAAAATCCATTGCAGGTCAGGAGACTCTTAATTTAGTTGCCTGACATTATTTGGAATGAACCTGAGCCAAAGTATTTTCAATTAAGATTCTTTGCTATAGCTACTCACCCACCTTCTCACTCTTTGTATTAGCTGCTCAAAAAAGAGTCCAAATACAAAATTTTGATAACTTCTTGGAGTTCAGAGGCCCAGAGACAAGGTACCAATTATGTTTTTCAGACACAGGAATGAAAACACTTTTTCATTTTGGCAGAAAAGCAGTAATACAATTTTAATGACAGACTTTTATTCTGTATTTAATAATTCATGGACATGCATTGGAAAAAAGATCTACACAACTCAAGACAGGAAATTCACGTGTGATGTAATATTGTACAGATGTTATTCAGAATGAAATCTCAATGGCCAAACTAATTCATTAATCTGAAATACCTGTCCTTTCTTATTATTTTAAAATAATTTTTTTGTGTCTCATAAGAAAATAATAATCAGTTATCAAGTAATATTCTTTATAAAGCCAAACTATTTATTACTTTTGGTTATATTCCTAAAGAACCATGGAAATGCCACTAATTCGATAATCTTTCCTTTTCATTTCTTACTGTATGGTAAAGTTCCTCACCCTCTCCCATACAACTAATCCTACCTCCATAAGTCTACATTGGTTCTGTGGTTCCTTCAAATCTCGAACAGTATGCTTCCTTTTAGTAGTATTTCATGACAACAGTAAATCCAGCTAGCAGCTTTCTACAAACTGTCCCCAACCAACCCCAGAAAACCAGGTAAATTGCTAAAAGTTAACAGAACACCCATCTCAGCAGAGTTCTGAAGTAAGCCTCCTAATGCAGAAACAGATTTCGGGACAGAAATGAAGCGTATCTGTGATATAAAGGAGGGTGTATATCATGTGAAATTTAACTTAATAATGGAAAATCTGAGCTGCACATTCTTGCTGCTCTTCTGTGTTGGAATTATTTATTCATTTCTTTTGAAGGTTGAGGACTGATTGCCCTCATTTAAAGTAGTCTTGACTCCCTGAGGGGGAAGTTAGGAAGTTATTAGCCATATTAAAGTTTAAAATTCTACATTATATATTTTGCCATACATCAGATAGCTTTCTCACTATCATGAAAAGTTATCTAATAATAATTTGGGCGCATCTCTAGGGTAGTTCACATGGAATTAATATTAATGGGAACTGTTCGTATTTGCCACTTTACTACTTTAATTTATCAAAACTGTTTTATTTTAGGAAAGTAACCTTGACGTCCTACTTTCAAAAACCTCACAGTATAATGCAATGTTCTTTTCTTCTTTTGCTTTATTACCTGTATAAAGATATTCAGGTAAGTATGCTGGCTGTACTGTCAGCGTCTTGATCTCATTCATCTCTCTGGTCTGAAGAAGCACTGATGCAATGGCCTGATAGTTGCTATTGCAAGATAATGCGATCAAAAGGTGAAGCAGTAACTTTTTACTGTGTTCAAAGACCTCAGGGCGGTAATGGTCAAGACCTAAAAGAAAAGGTTACAGCAATCACTAAATACGAAGTCATAAAAAACAAGTTCACATTCCAGAAATAGCAAAAATTCCAAGGCAGATCACGGCAACAGTTTAAACAAACAAAAGATGTAGTATTTCCAGACACAGTTACTAGTGTTTTTACTGAAATGTATGTGTGTATCTAGTTTCCAGACTGAGGTCCCATACAGGAGGTACAAAACAATCTGTGGAATACAACTTTATGCATTGTCTCACTGCTGTGTTAATTGGACAGGGCTGGAAAACCTCTAAAGATGAGAAATTCTTGGTGGTGGTTGTAGTTACATTGCTTACCTCAGTACCTGGCTTTGTTGCACAGACATCAGTTTTACAATGAGTGCTAACTGCAAGAGGTAGATAGTGATTTCTTAAGAAAGGAACTGACAGTCAAAAACTGACACTGAAGGTCTAGCACTGAGAACTCTGATCTGGTTAGCACTGCTGCTGTTTGTAAGATTTTAACACAACTTGAGTAATTCAGAAGTTACAAATATAAAGGAAATAGATGTTTGCAAATTAAACTGCACTCTGTGGTAGTAATCTCTTCTTGATTCTCTTTCAGTACCTTCCAGGATATTTAAAAATACTTTCTTCCATTTAGAGGCAGTTTCAGTGCTGAAAAATTGAACGGTTTTCTTCTTCAGCTCCTCTCTTCTCAGGATATATTCCTCTTTAAAAACCAGCTCCTTCATTACTCTAAGTGGCAGCAGCCAACAGGTCTTTCAAATCATGTTTTCTAATATACTCTAGTCACGCTGGTTCTTGTCTGGCCTGCAAAAATGAACCTACTTGTACTGCCGTAGTCTGAACAATGTGTCTTTGGCTCCTGTTGGGCAGGTCTTTGGAGATCTTGTGATCCTTGGTCTTACTCAACTGCCCACAGCCTTCTTCAAAAGAACCACGACCAACCTGCCCACCATTTTTTCAGCTTCTTCAGGTTTCTGCTCCTATTCTCCATTCTCCATTTCCTTCCACCTGCCAGGAGATAATGAACCCATCCTACCCTGTTCTAACATACACTGAAAAGGATATAAAAAGTGCTTTTAGTTGAAAAGAAATTCTATATTGGCAGCACTTGCGACTGAAATCCTGTTAAACCCTAGAGTTGTATGAAAGTATTTATATAGATATGCTAGCCATGAAGTGAGGACAGTTCAGTCTTTGTGCTTGTCCAGTGCTGGGCCCTTCTTGGAAGAGTGTCCGAGAGGGTAAACTTCTGTGACATGGACACATTTCCATGGGAAAGGAGTCTAGCTGTTCAACTCATTTCACACTGGTTGCAAACGAGTTTTTAAACAGCAGTGATTTTCATGCACTACTGAGATAGGCCTCTCCACTATCAGTACTACAAACCATGCAATAGCCTATTAAACGCATACATGGCAAAATTCTTTCACTGATGATAAAGTATTCTGTCAACAGTGAAATTAATGAAGCTGGCTTTCCAGTGGTCGGTCTCCTACTTCCATTATATCTGCAGTACAGTAATCTCGGCTCTCTTACCTTGTATTTTTGCAAGAGACAGCACTGGTGTGTGTAGTCCACGTCTAAGGCATGTGCTGACTGCCCAGCTGCTCATCGCAAACCAGGTGGTACAAAGGCTGAGTTTTGCCTGCTTTACTTGTGGAGGGAGGCTACGGGCTTTTTACAGATATTTTAGGTAGTCAGTCATATTCAAATTTCTACCCACCTCTCAAATTTGGGTGAAATTGGCCAAAATACTCAAAAGCTTTAAAGTTTTGAGACTAATTCAAAGACTGTAATTACCTCAGGCTTTTTTTCTTTCTCTTTTTTTTTTTTTTTGGAAATCATAATTAAAAGCATATGAGAAACACAACTCTACAGCTTCAGCAAAACTAAACTAAAAGGACAGGAGTACATTTACACTTTATTTCTTGTTCTGTTGGTCTTACCTAAAAAGAGAGCATGTAGCAATAAAGGCAGGTGAAGAGCCCAATCTTCTCTCACACTGTGATCCACTACCATCTCAGTCATGAAGATGACAGCAATATTGCACCTGGAAATTAAATCACAGTATCAGTTTGAAACCTCTTGGAGTTAGGAAAAGAGTAACATGATGGCTATTTCTGAAGAAATAAACAATCTCTACATTTTCAAATTTGTAGCATTTCTTCTCAGTATGATTAATGCGGAGGCACCTTAAGTACAGTATTAAGCAGGTAAGTACCCACTACTGAAAAGAACACTATTACTGTCAATACAAATTACGTAAAAGAGGAATTTCAGAATATGCATGACCTAGTTAGAGTAAAAGATCAAGGGGGGAAAAAGTGCTATAAGTAACAGCCACAGAGGCTTGGGAAAGAGAAATTTTCCTTTTCTGTTTTAGTTGTTTCTTCAGTCTGGTTCTTATCAGAAAGTGATGTCCTACATTGTAAACAGGCTTTCTGGTAGAAATCTGGTAGAATTGCAAGCCTTCGTTGCATGTTGATTTTAGCACTGGAAATTAGCAGAAATTGAAGGTATGATTTTCAGATGTTCTGAGTGGTGGGACAGTTGGATTGGTGTTGGTCAACCAGTAAAAGGAAGGATCTCACTGTTTGAAACGTCAGAATGAGAAACTGCTCACCTATGAAGGGGTCCTCGGGGTGTGATGGTTTCGGGGAGGTAGTCCACAAGTGGTGCCCAACATCCTCCATTGTAAGGCATGGGCAGGGGATGTGGTTGTTTGGTTTCAACGATATTCAGTAACCAGCTTGTATATGGAGAAACGGGATCATCTGCATGGAAAAGCATTAAAATAGAGTGCATAAAAGCCAAGCCTGGTTACCCATTTTGGAGAAATAATAAAATAGAGTTTATGTTAATGTATCAGCTCAGCTATTTGAAATAATGTGATAAGACGACGTGAGGTTTGCAAATTCCTGTCTTCAATAGCAAGTGATGCATTTTTAATCCCTCTTTCATGCTGCTGGAAATTCAACAGATTCCAGGCAGACAGCATTGCATGGTAGGAACCGCAGCTGAATCCCTGCTGTCACTTAGTAGTTTTGGATCCAGATCACAGAGCACCAAGCAACAGACTTTCTCTTCAAAAAACGAGAGAAAAGTTCAGCCAACAAAGCTGCTGTCAGAAGCCATCTGCTGCAAGGAGCTGCGTTCCAGTGACACATTCTTGCAGCTCCTCACCAGTGCCCTGCTGAGTGATGCTACAAAGGCAGCAGTTAAATGTCCTGAATTAGGAAGGAGGCATAAGGAATGCAAAAACCATCTTCGGTGTAATTTTCTTTCAACAGGGACAAATTATCTCTTGAATTTCTCAAAGATGTATTTAACTTTGCTTCAGTATGACAGCTGCTGTATGTTAATGAGCAGTAGGTTTTTTTCTTCCACCTGTTTATCTGCAATGATGTGGGTCAAGTAAGTTGTTTCCATCACTTTCTGTCTTCTCTCAGCTGCACAGCTTTGTTCATCTCTCCTGTGTTCTCTTCCCTCTCGTTATTCTCGATTTTCCCGTTGGTCAGCTTTTATTTCCCGGGTCTGGCAGTCTGTGATCCACTGCCGTGGAAAGTATCCTGTTCTTGAGATATATCCAAACATTGTCCTTTGTGAATTTGTAATAAGCGTGTTATTTTTCGCTCTGTGTTTTTTTTTTTTTTGTTACACTTTTGCATTTTGGGTGGGTTTGAAACTCTCAGCACTTTCCTTTTTTTAACAGTGTGTATCTGATGCTTGTCGACTTTGCCACAGGAAACAAAACCAGTTTGATGCCTACAGAAGTATCAGAGCTAGCTTTTTCTAATGCACATCACTTCTTGGTTTTGACAAAACCTCTTCAGGAGCCCTTCAATGCAGTAGCTGCTCCTCCAATTATTACTAAAATGCCAACTTTATCATTCCCATTCTTCAGTGTTAATCTTCTAAGGAGCACTTTAGATCTTTATGATTTAGACCTCTACTTATTTCTTTCATCCTCTGGAGGATGATTTACTAGTTACAGATAAAGAAGAATAAACTGACCTAATAATGTAGCAAAGTATAGCATTTTTATATATCCATCTTCTAAGGATTAACCAGATACAGTCTGCCAGATGCTTTTCACATAAAAAGCACTGCACAGTCCCTATTTATTACAACCAATTTAAGCATTTCACATAAAACTACTTCATGAAGTCCACACTAAGACCCAGCTCCTCACTCATGTTTTCACAGCTTTATGTGCAGATTGAGGAAAAAAAGAAGCACTTTGCACCTTAACGTACAACCTTTGCCTGAACAAAAGAGTTTCTGTGCCGCAGAGCTGTGTTCCCTATTTATATCCTCCGCGATACACGTATGCTCAAGTAGACTGGAGGGCAGAGAGAAGCCATACCACCAACTATGTTGCAGCCTGGGCTGCCTGCCAGAGGGAACAAGTTGCCCTTTCTTAATGGAGGTTGGATTATTTATCTTGTAGAATGAAAAATGGTATAAGAATTACTCTTTCTTTTTAGAATTCTATATAAATGTCAGTAGCAAAGTAAAAGGTATTTTATTTTACATCTAGGTATTCATGTATTTGTGGAAGGAACCCCTATGAGGTGCAAACCTTGCATAAATATTCACAGTATGATAAAGCTTGCAGGTACAGGCAGGAAAAAACATTTGGGCACTGGCTTGAGGAGACATTCCAAACGAGAAAAGAAAATTTCAGTGTTTTTTAACCTTTTATTACTCTAAGCTCTTGTCAAAACCAGCTACTTGTGAAGAATGTTCTGATAATATAAACATGCTTCTGTTTTGAAAGACTGTTCATGTAGATCAGATTAGCGCTGGTGCTCCAATTAACATCTGCTGATGAATTTTTAGTAGCTGCAGCACTAGAAAGCCATAAGAAAAACAAGACAAGTGTACTAAAACCCAGTGAGTTTAAATTGTTGCACACTTTTGTAATGTATCTAAATACTGCAGTGTGTACATACATGATACATTGTAAATATCGTGCTTCATTATTATGAAAAATAGTTGTTGATATACATTAAATTATCCTATCGTATTGTATTTGACAGTGTTTGCATAATTTGCAGAAGAGTATTGCCAAAAAATTACTTGGATTAAAGAATATATAAAATCTTTACTTTTTATGTCAAAATACTGTCCCAAAATGGTGTCCGTAGCACCAAGACAAGACATTATGACCTCTGTATTATTTGACCTGGCTTTATTAGGCCAGAGATGAAAGTCAATAAAAAGGTCTTGCCTTTTTTACATTTGGTTAGGGCCTAACTGAAATCTGTAGATTGGCTTCATTACAATTCACTCCAGAAACGAAGTCAAAACATCCAACTCCTAAAATTTACACGGTCGTTCAATAGTTGACAGAAATATCTTGGTTTTCTTTGGAATCTCTGCTGAGCATCAAGGGTCCATTTAGCAGAAATAGACAAAAAACAACAAGTGTGCTCGGGAGCCCTATCTCACTCTCCCCTCTAACACAGATTTGCACAGTGCAGACAGAAACTGGTTGCAGGTATCAGAGAAAAAGGTAAAGAGGAGATAAGACCTCATTTTTGGAAACTCCTGAATCTCTTCTCCATGCTTTTATAACAGCATGATTTGGAGGGAAATACTGGTGAAGGGCACAATTCAAAGTATTTGCTGTAATGCTCTTGGAAGTCTTTGGCCTTGCCATGTACAAAAGGTTCAAGGTGTTACTGTCTGGAGGATTCTCTGCTGCTGTCTTCTTATGAAGTTCTCTGGCATTTAGGTAGGTTTGACTGAGCCCAAGTTAAATAAAGGAAACTAATTAAATGAATTATGAAGGTAAAATAAGGACACTCCCTGTACGGTGATGCTACATCACTGTTCATACAGAACTTAGAGAGCCTCCACCAGTCATAAGAATGTTTTCCTCTCCCACCAAAACACCAGAAATTTCATCAAATTGAATAATAGAACTTACTTTTGTCATCATCGTAAGATCCTCCGGAGCTATTACTGTACCTCGATTCTAGTCGGGTATGTGCTCTGATTACATTACTGAGCCTTCAAACACAAGAAATATCTTCATTAAAAACAGAGTGACATTAAACACCTGGACTATATGCTTACTCTACAAAAAAAGCATTTCCTTAAGCATGCACTTTCACACGGGAGTAGACAGCAATGCGAATGCAATGCTGTTTCTTTCCACCAAAGATTTTTGCAGCCAGTTTCTGAGAAGTTCGAACAGTGTGCTCCTGTAACACAAGCTTTTAAAATTTAGCAGAAGGAAAATTCTCATGCTGCAAATGTGTGATTTTCTTGAAGCAAGACACTGTGCTAAGGCTGAACTGAGATATAAACTGTTCACAGCTAGTATTTTGTCACAGCCAGTGTTCATGGGTACAATTCTGGGAATGTGCTAAAGCAGTAACTGACTGAGTAGTCCAAAGTCAAGCTCGCCCAGGGATCAGGCAGCAAAAGCTGCAGCAGATCACCCTTCAAGAGGAAAATCCAGCAACTGCCAGAGCAGATCTAGCAGAGGAGTTAAGGGATATGAGAGCCAGAACAAACTGTTCACAGCTGGCCTCAAATCTGCCACAGATCCGTGATAAGCTCTTAGTGGTGATCTCCTTTGGCTTCGTCCACCTGCGGGTGCTGTCGGTGTAATCAGGCCTGGAGTGGAGTGAGAGGAGCCAAACCAGGGGCTCACACACTAGTGATGATGTAAAAACATCACCGTTTCTGCAAAGCTACGAAATCAATTACAAATAACCATGTTAAAACAACTATCTCAAAACAAAATTAAAGGTTCTCTATGCAACATTCAATTCAATTTCTTACTAACGTGCATACATATTATTGCAGGGTATTTAATTATACATCGACATACTATGCTGATTCCAAAGCACGTCTGTCTCATAAGGGCACAATAAATTCATTGTGGAGGTGAGAAAAAGGCAACATAAGCCATCTTAATTCTGCCATTTTCTGTCTTTCCAGTATCTGCTTCTCCTGTATTTTAATAAATTCCCTTAATAAATGTGTACAAACTGACAATTACTGACATATTTATCTGGCATAAAAAAGAGATAAAAGAATAAAGTTAAGGAAAACAATTATGAAAAAATACGCAGAGATGAAAGGAAAAAATTGTGAAGAAATATGCAGAGATGAATTCTATCCTGTATGAAACAAATGGAGAATACAGGTCATAGAAATTATTTGAGAGCACAGCATTTTACATCATATTGCATCAACATAAAAACATCGATATTTTCTGATTAGCTTTGTATTATTAAAAAAAAGTCCACATTTCTGAGAATAGTTTGTTTACAATCTATTACCTTCTGTAAACATTATTTAATATGTCTTGACACATGAGGTCAACAGTAATGGACATTCTAAGATTGACACATTGGTTTTGAAGTGCAGATGCACTTACAGCTTCTAGTGTCTCTGATAATGTGAATGCTAGCAATGAATTCAGGCAAATTATTTTACATTTTTTTTCTGATGAGTTTTTTTTTTAGAATAGCAATATCAGAACACCAATATCAGAACTTTGAAATCTTGCTTTCATTTTTATTATATAGTCTCTGGCAGATTTGAAGGCCAACGACCTTTTTGGAGTCACATTTAAAATTTACGTAAGACAAGAAACCCTGAAAACACAGTTAGATTTTAAAGTATAGTGGGAGATGAAGTTTGCTCAACTTACCTGCAAATCAACTAAACAAAAATCTAACTTAAAACCATATAGCCATAAACATTTATGTAAAGAACAATAAAAAAATAATCCAGAGGAAAAATAGTTTAATCTTCCTTTTAAATCAATTTCTAGTGCATATGCTGAAAACCACCATTTTGAGTCAAATCCTCTTTACTATCACTTTGAAACCTTACTTAGTACTCAGTGCCATTTTTTACTTACATTTAAATCAGCAGATAGACATAACTAACCTGACAGAATGCTACTCGTGTTTATAACATGTAGAAGGCAAGCAATTCAAAAGATTCTGAAGTATAGAAAAGTTTGCTCACGTAATTGTCTCCATACCTCTAAGCCCTGAACCTATGGAAGGTGGATTGGACTACTGAAGTGATACTAGCAACTATCAGGAACAACAGATTAACGTAATGCTAATACGCTTACTAATTAATGCTATTAGAAGGCATTCAAAGTTCTCTTACAAAAATAAGAGGGTTTCAATGAGAGAAGAAATGTATATCTGTCTGTGCTTGAGGACCTGATGGCCCTTAAGCTTTGCATTTATTCATTCATCATTTGTCAGTATGTACCATAAGTAGCAAAAGACTAAATTGAATATATGATTTCTAGGCAACATATTTTACATAGTTTTCCTCTGTAAGACATTTTATCCAGACAAAGAAGGTGCCTTTGCAATCATGAATACAAATCTGCATACTAAATTTTATTCACTGTCCATGAAATCAAAAAGTGTGATCAAACTTGATTTTTCATAAAGATTTTAGTAGTCGTTATTTGGTACACACTCTTCATTTTCTTTCCCCTTTGTGGATAATTCCTACAAAGCCACAATCGACTTAGCCCAATTCATTCAATGTAGGTTTAACAGACATTCCTCTGCAATGTATTATTAACCAACAGTCAGGAATCAGAATCATGTGAATAGCTTTTTTCTTTTAAAACTTTTACAGACGCTCATTTAAAATGGTCTTACTGGGATCATGTCACTTGGGATCACTCTGAGTATCAGAGTTCCTCACAAAACAATGCAGAACTCTGCCCAACATCTCACCCGTAGCCTAGGAAAACACATACATTTTGGAAAGAAAAAAAAAAACCAAACCACAAACCTTTCATCAGTTTCTTTCACCATTCTGTTCTCCTCTACATCAGGAAAACTATCTTGGCCAGCTACAACAGTGTTACTGCTTGAGGTCGTTCCTGTATATGAGACGGCAATAAGAACACCTGTTACATACAGCAGACAGTATTTGCAAAGCAATAAAACCCCATACTTTAAATTTTTTTAGCAGATACAAAGTGATAAACCTGCAAGTACTTGCAAATATGAATGAACACTGTTACCTCTACAAACCAGGACCTGGTTGCAGGGCTGAATGCTGTAAAGTTTACAGGCTTTCAGGGGTAGATTAACATAATGGTGCTCTTCCCCTCCTTAAACTAAGCTCATCCTCAGGTGACATAACCTATTGTTTTACAAGAATTTGGCAAAACATTGACAAGGTTAAATTTGGGATTGGTGTCTCTTAAGTATCTTTGACTACTGCAGCTTGGAAATAGCACTAGGCCTTTGAAAACAGAATTGCCACGGAGTTGAGGCTCTGAGTTTTCAGGAAACTCTGCTGCTTTGGTGTCTCTGCTGTGATCACAGCATTGATGAGGACTTCTTGTTCCAAGAAACTAGTGGTAGAAGAACCACCTCATATGAGTCCTGAACAGCACCAGACATTGGTAATATCCTACTAAAATAGCTGAGAGAATTAAGCGTATGTTTACAAAGCATATATGACACTAGGAATCAAAAAAACCTGTAATTTAGCTATGCAACAAGGCTCTTAAACTTGCACTTTATATATAAACAGACCTGAATGGGTGCAAAAGTAAGAGATTGGGTTTTTTTCAAAGAGATGAACACTCAAAAGAGCAGGAGAGCATAACTGAAAAGTATCTTTAGGTCATACCAGAAGCTGCAGCCGAGGCTTTGTTACTGGCAGCAAAACGGTAAAACGGAGGATTATCGCAATGCTGGACTATTGGATTCACTGGGTCAGTTTGCTGCAGCTCAAAAAGAAGCTCTTCCATTGTCTGAATAGTGTTATTGCGACATAAATATATTGCAACCTTTTTTATCTAGAGAAGAAAATAACAGTTACTAAACTCTGTCCAAAATGAATTTCCAAAGAAATCAATACACGTTACACTGCAGTACTGAAAAGATCCGGAAGGCAAATGTTACTCCTGGACAGAAACCACAACCACACAACTGCATCCATTTTGTTCATACAGAAATAAAAGTGCTCACTTTGATATCAGGAACATTTCCCCAGCAGAGTGAATCTGTGATCTAATTACCCCAAAGTTTTTGCTTACCATCCACAAACGAGCTGTTTAAGTATGTAACTATACAACATACGCATATACAAAACTCACCTAATTTTGTACCTATCATTTAAGGATATCAGCATTAACTCTGAATCACACTCAGGGATTTATAGTTTGAGTATACGATTTTCATTGAAGATGAATCTTCCTCTCTTCAATGGAGTAAACTTCTCATCTAGAAAGCTAGATCCACGCAAAACTTCATGCCTATATTTCCAAATAACAGTGGATGTGAAAGAAGTAGCTGTAGCCACAAAGAATAAGCCAGGCTCTGAGCAGCTACTTATATCCGTAATCAAGGTAACGACACATGGAAGAAAGGCACAGCAATTATGTATACAGACTTCATGCATCCTGATTTGAAACATCTGAGAGTATCATTTATAGAAAATCTGGGAATTTCTATAAATCTTTTAACAAGACCTCAAACGTTATTGTATGCATTGCAGCACTGAGGACTGTTGAGATACTGAGATCAAATTAGACTGAATTCTTGACGAAAAAACCGTGATGGCTATTAAAATCTATAAACTGCTGGAGCTGGGAGACCATATGGGGAAGCGTGCCTCTATGCTTGCTTTCTTGTTTTTAAAGATGTCCCTAAATAGATGTTTGTAGCGGAGCTAATACACTGGACTGAACTGCCCGTTGGTCTCACCAAGTATTGCTGTTCTTACGCTCTGAAATACTTCCATTAAAATAACTTCCAGACTGCTTCTCTTTCCTTCTTTTTTTTTTTTTTCCTCTCCTTTTTTTTTGCTTAAAGTAGGGAAAATGCACGTATTCAAAGTCTCTTTTACTCTTCTGTGCAAAAAATTTCCCAAGGACTTTCAGATACAAATCCATCTCTTTCCTGAGGCTCATTTCTAGTTGGGATCACAGTGGCACTTCCAGCTTCTTCCACTCCAGAGGGGTCACGTCCCCCACACTCAGACTTTGCCGAAGAGGTTTCTGAACTGTAAATATTCTGAGAAATCTTTCATACACATGTGAAAGAAAGGACAGCTCAGCAATTTGCACTGAGGCGCTGGGAAAAATTGCTTAAAGGAAACATAAGAGATAAAGCAATGAATTTAGCTGATTTAAAAAAAAATGTAAAAAATGTAAGTCAGGCATGCTTTTGGCTTGGACCCACGCAGGCAGAACAGATGGCTGAAGGCCTGAAGCAGCTGGTGAGCGCCTTGGGGCACAGGGGGCTCCAGGAGGAGATGGGTAAACTGGCAATCTTGCAACTGCGTGGTCTTTTGAGCCCAGGTGAGCTGGAACGGTGCTGATAAACTGTTGGAATTATCTTCATTTGCTAATGTGGATGTGTTATCTACATGATAATGGAAGACACATGTTTATGGTATCAGCAGTCTTGTGTAGTTACTAGAGTTAGGTATGACTTCTTATCTGTAAACTCCAGGGCATTATCAAAACACGGAACAGATGCGTGTGATAAGCCCGGTGTATTTTCCTACTCCAGACAAAGCTATCAGTTAAGGGGTGACTCATAAGTATAGTCAGGCTTCCTACTGAGGTTGAAAACTTTTTCAGATTTTGTAAAATCTGAGAATCAGACTTTTAACTCAACATTACAAAACACAGATTAACAGGGTGGCAGAAAACACAGGAACCTTGTCAGCTGCTGCCACCAATGAAGACCTGCTTGTCTTCTCAACGCCCATCACTGGAAGATGGGGAGGGAGACCAGAAAAGTCCCACAAGAAAAACAGGAGATGCTGAGATGCCAAAACGGACTGCTGTCTTGTGGAGTAAGAGGACTGTATTGTCCTGGACAGGACTGTGAAAGCCAAGGCTTCAAGGCAAGGAGGTCTGGAAAGAATTTGAAGAAAGAAGAAGTGCTATGGGTAGGAAGGGGATTTGAGGTAGGCTGCTCAGAGCTGTGGGATGGCAACAGTTTTGGCAAAAGGATGTGCTGAAAGCTCTGGGTTGGCAAGTACCTGGATGGGGGGATGAGGTACATGAGGGTCTCCTGGGCAAGAGGCCACAGGGTTATCAGGCATTTCCAATCAGGCTACAGATTAGGAGTGAGACATATACTCAGCACAGGACCATTCCCTCCTCTTGGAAAACTGCCCCTATTCCTTTTGTAAGCTTTCAGAAACACAACAGCTCCCATTTTGTCTCTTCTCTCTGTGATTTCCACTTCTTCCCTGCCAACATAGCTCCTCCTGATAGAGGCCACCTTTGGGCCTGATCCCAAGTCTGTCGTAGATTGTAGGATCAGGCAGGTTGGAAAGAACCTGAGAGGTCTCTCATCTCACCTCCTGCTCAAAGCACAGTCAGCACTGAATGGGGAGCCGCTGTCACTCTGTCACAATTGATGGAAAGATCTTCATTACCCTCAAGATATTTGGGATCGACCCCTTTGTCTTCTTCTCATATTAACCTTGAGCTTGTTCTTACAGCAATGCCACTTTCAACTCTTTCCTCTTTTGATTAGCTAGGCAACACTTGGCATATATATGCACTGATTTGAGAATATACAACAGTAAACCCTACAAATAAAAGGAAACCAACAGGAAATCTATGGTATAATAACAACATCTTGAAAATTTTTATGGGCTTCTCTATTTCCTTTATTCTGTTATGCATAGCAATCATCATAAATACTTTAAGCAAAGTATTATTTCAGCAACTGTAAATGAAGTATGTTTATGAGGCTTTTTAGATAAGTTTAATCGCATTAATAGCAATTTCAAATTTATTTCAGGAAATCAATAGAAAAAGACTAACTAATAAAACAGCATATTGTAATTGTGCTGGAAAATTTACTAAATTTAGATTCTGTTTCACCGAGCAACTGAGCAATAAGGAACATGGGAATGGGAGTATCTTGCTTTTCTCAGACAGCCCTGATTTTATTTTAACTTGAATAATAACAATATCCTGCACAGTTTGACTTGCACAGTGCAGGAACAGTTATATAATTCATGACAGCCATGCAAAAGCAAAAGTCAATATGGTAAGGAGCTTATAAAGGTTTGCTATCTCGTGTCTCTTGAGATGTCCCACAGAAAGCCTTAGTCTGCTAAAGGAGAAGAGAATGAGGCACTTTCTTAAGACTACATGCTTTTCTGAAGGAACACCTAAACCTTTACAACAAACAAACTAATAAGATCATAGCATGTTAGGTCCCATTCATGGTATAACATCCATTGTTTAAAGGACGTTCAAAATTTAACTAATGGCTTTGTAAACGAATTGATTATTTAGAAAAATTATAAGCATTCAGTATTTTTACTTCTCTTCATTTTTCATCCAAGTTATTTAACCTCTGCACAGTCATTCTGTCTTTTTAATACATTTTAAAATATACATATATTTTGCATATTTCATGCAATTCTGACAGGTGAAAATATTTCTAATATTTTTGCTCATTCATTCCGGCAATTTATGGCCAGTCCCTGTTACTGGTTCCTTACACAGACATGCAAAGTTGCTCTTTGCTTGAGAGGAGCCCAGCTCCTGCTTAAAACGAGGTGTGCTCCACTGGTGGAGATTCAGATTCCCACTAAATTCCTTTCTTGAATTTCATTTTCTTGGCTCATTTATTCCCATTATTTAATTTTGTACAGTGTGCTAGGAAATATGTTGGTACTTCTTATTTTTGAAATAGAAATTAATTTTTTGCAGGTGATAGCTGTTTTCTTCATTAAAACTTGTGCAACCAATAGTGAATAAAATAAAGTGCAAACACTTACATAAGGTAAAAGGATGGTATCACTGCTAACACCACACAAACTAATGAGAAACTGCAGTGTTATCCTAAGGTTGTTACTCCATTTTTCATTGTTGGCCAAAGCATTCCAGACATTTTCCATCTCTGGTCCGGGAATTTCATCTCCATACTGCAAAAGATCACAGGCATATATTTCTTGAAATATATGGACCCCCAAACTAAGGCATGCTCTTTTAGAGCATTTTCTCATGCAAAACCAACAGTAAAATGCCATAAAAAGTGACAGACCAGTATTTTCAAAAGCTACCTAAGAGACTCCAGAGCATAAATTCTATTTAAAAGTATTTAGGTTCAGGTCCACAGAAGGACTTAAATCACAAAAAATAAAGTCGTTCAGGAATGTAAATTCAAAAGATGATCCTAAAATCAAGCACTTTATTCAGTTTCATCTTTACAGTCATTCAAGCAACTGAAGTTCTGTTTCTGCATGTCTGTACCTACATCTTTCAGCCTTCACAGTAGTGAACAATTTGGCACCTTGCTCCTGAGTAAATCCTGGCAGAATTAAGCATTACACAGCCCTTTGCTTTCACATTGGAAACGAGCAGCTTTTGCTCGCTTTTGCAAGACATGGTTATAGGAGTGACTCCCTTTTGTCCAGTCAATTAAATGGTGAGTGCATGCATCCAGGCTGTGGCAGTGTAGAATTGAAGCTGTGCTGTTTCCTATGTAAGATCTTTGCCTCCCACTTCAAGAAGACTGTTTTAACCACTGACATTTGGCTAGGAGAGGAGTAGCAATCTCCAGGTCATGCTATTCCACTGACAATTATTTAATACACTTTAGCTACATCTACACTGTCACTGGCATCTACATCTACTGTCATCTACACTGGCACTTCCAGGGGCCAGTCCCTTTATCACACGTACAGCCTCAAAGCTAGGTCCATTGATATGGTTTGAAGAAAGCATACTTGTTCACTTTGGAACAAAAACTTTGTGTGGTTTTGGAAGCAACTTACTCCGAGGACTGCTGCTGATAGGCAGTAAAGGTGAGACTGCATCACATCTGTTTTCAACCCATGAAATTCCTCTAACAATATCCTAGAGACTCTGTGCCATCAGATAATTCACGAGCCAGTATCATGCCCTGGATATGCAACAAGTATCAAAAAACCATTCTGGTGGGCTGAAGCACAGCCCCCACATTACTTCAGACATGCTCATATAACAAAACGTACACAAAATAATAATTATGTTTTAATTAAAGGGCCTCAATGCGAGGCAAGATCCAGAACCAACTGCTACGTAGCACGGATACAGACATTCTGCTCGAGAAAGGATTAATCCTGAGCAGGTTAGGAAGTGTGAACCACTCTGTCCCATACGACATAGGTACCAGGCATCACTTCCTGGAGCTTCTGTGTTTTGCAGTTTAGACATAGGTACTGAATCTGGCAAAAGCAGTGCCAGAGCAGGCACGGCACACTAGTACAGCAGCCTGCAACTCTGCAAAGAGAAGGAAAAGATGGATACCCAGTACCTTCTCCACCAGCTGCTTAGACAATTTACATGCAAAATTGGAAAAAAAGGAATCTCTGGTCCTTTATTAGGACATGGAATGTAAAATACCTTCCCTTTTACAGAAGAAAGTTTTAACTAGCACCTTAGAAATTTATACCTATTTTTTCCTTTTCTATCTCTTAAAGAATATTTAAGTGTTTGCTAGAAAGTACAAGAGCTTCAGTAGGACAAATTCCAGCTGCTCATTCTCACCCTCAAATAAACTTTCACCTGCTGCCCTAGACATTAACCCAGGAGGTGATACAGGAGGGAACGGAACTTAGTTCCTCTGTAAGTAATCCTTAATACTCTGACTACTAAGGTTTTTTTTGAAAAGGGTAAAACACTTTTCTTTGTTCATGTTTTGAAAGTGAACAGTTTTAGCATTGTCCTTAAAAAAAAAAGTAAAGGAACTTCTTCAAAAACAAGATTGTGTCTGATTAGTACACACTTTGTTTGCACTGATTTGTTCCAGCGCAAAGTTTCTGTTACCAGAGGGAAGTAAGCAAAGTACCTTTTCCTTAAGAAATCTAAGTTTGAATATTTCAGAAATTGTTTTATAGGTTGGTTCCTTTGTTTGTTTTGCTTTTTTACCTTGGCTGTCATATACATGAGATTATTAAGAACCAGTGAGGTGGCCTCAGGAGAGCCCCAGCCATTGCCTTTTAGTCCACTTGTGACGGCTATTTCCCCATCCTTGTCCTTCAGTTCATCTTCTGGAGTGGTAGGGCTTGAACCAGGGAGGAGCAGTCTGTTGTCTACAAGTTCAATATTATGAAGCCATGGTAGCAGATAGGTAAGCATGATCTGTCTTCCATTTGGATGTGTTGTTGGAAATCGCTGGCTTACCTCTAAAACAGTAAAAGTTGAAAAGGACAAGATATTAGTTTATGAAAGAAACTTTAAATACATGGTTTAAATCAGATTTCTGATGTGTGTTAGACCACCTGATGGTTTTTACCTTGCAAACCACAAGCATAGAAAAGCATGTACTTGAGTTTCCTGAAGAGAAACATTAATTCAATGTTCCATAATAGCAAGCAATTGGTCAGGTCTTCTGTCTAAAACAACTAACATAGTCTGGGCTTAGAAACAGAAAGTCACTCCTTGTTTACTGTGCCATATTATGTATTAAATGAAACGGATGTCAATAAAGAGGAACAACAAACATACAAAAGCGTTCTGCAGAATTACCAGTGCCCCATCAGCCTCTGTGTTTCTACGCTATAGTTTATAAGGCTTTTAAGGCACTTACTATACTGACTTTACAAAAACACCTTGCATATTTTAGGAGTCTTATTTCCTGTGAGGAGGCCTATAAAGTTCATAGTCGGCTGCCAGTCCAGGAGTGCCTGTATACAGCTCTCCATATAGTTTATAAAAAAAGAACTGGCACTCTTAAGGGAAAAGGATTTGGAAAATCTGGGATAAGAAATACAGTGACAGCCTTCCTGCCAAGGTGAACCACATTAGCTCTCTTTACCAGAATTATTCTGTAAAATCAGTACAGTTAACATTTCCTTTCTTTCCTCACTGCCTGGTTTTTAAAAATCTTCAAGACATACATGGTTCTCTCTCCTTACGATTCCAGGTGTATGAAAAGGGGCTCTGATTTGGACTGTGCATCTGAGTTCTTTTAAATGAAACAGCCACTACAGCAACACGAATAGATGGTAACTGTAATAATGGACAACATTTGCTTTTTTTAAGATAAATGAGCCATCAGAATTTCCCTACTCCAGTTATTTATAACTCATGGTATCTTGGGCACTGAGAAATGGATGATGTATTGGTCCTTTATCCTTCCTTCAGCCCCTACAGACTGAGTAAAAACAACAGAAAGGGATTTTAAGAGCCAGTAAGAATTCCCACGATTACAGACAGTGCATTCTGTTATTTAAAAACTGGAGCAACACATCAGACGGATTAAAACAGACAGACACGTCTCAAAATGTCATTGTTCCCATGACTGGTCTCAGAGTGGACATGTTCTGAATGGTGCTCCCACAGGTCTGATTCTTTAACATTTTTCTCAGTAACCCTGACAAAATCTATTTCTGATAAAATTAAAATGATACTACGACTTGCAGATGTGGCAAATAACAGAAGGTAGAGATCACTCAGTCAGAGTGATTTGAATCTTCCCAAAGTTAGTCATATTTATATAAGATGAAGAATTCTATCCTCACAAGTATCATCTATATAAACGTATATATAAGAAAAGTCGCTATGCTTAACACAGGAACCCATTATAGCAGAGTTTGCCAATGTCACTTTAACTTATTCAGGGCCCATGTAATTTCAAAATTAAGTGGCACAGAGTCCCCAAACAGGGTTTTTAAATAACTATTCTGTACTTTGTATAAGTACCTCGAGGAAATATACATTGCATTTCTAAATCTAATTTGACCTGAACAAGAATAAAAACAGGTCAAGCTAAATTTATGAACAGAATTGCTGTTCACAGGTGGAAATGTCTTGGCAGTTTACCATTTGTACAAAAACGTAAAGTAGATAATAAGACAAATAGATATAGGTACCTGAAAAAAGTGGAAGGGTAAGTTCAGGATACATCCTTGCTAGTTCATATGAAAGAAGGGCAAGTGAGACACTGTAAAGAGGTGGCAATGGACCATGTGTACCGTACAAGATACTGCCTGGTCTTTGTTCAGCTACCTTTTTTGAATAAACAAAAAGCTTTGATTCAAGGATCTATAAAAGACAAAAAAATAATGTAATGAGACAATGAAAATTCATTAATTGAGGAAATGTCAGCATTTCAAGTTTAGATATCAGAGAATGAGCTATATGCTTCAGCATATACTCTACAAATTTGAAAGACACCGTAACTAATATTTTTCCATTCATTTTTATATAAATATTCCCATAAGTATTTCTAGCCAAGACAAAACTAATTGTTTATTTTCAAAACAAAACTAAAAAGCATATAAACAGTACTTTATAAGAAGTTCACAAAAAACCCCCAAAGACAGGAGGACAAAAAAAGTAGCTGATACATGCCTGCATAAGTTGCATGGAAATCTCATAGATCTCTCTGTTGGTGTCAGATGCCTTGAACAGCACCAAGTTTAAAAGCGTCACTATATCAAAAGGATAGTTCCTAGAAGAATAAACAGTACATTTTTGTGAATGTTGGTGAGGAATGCAGATTATATTCACTCTGATTTATTCTGTAATGTGGTCTAAAGAGAATGTCATCTTTCTTTTCTCTGTTCTACTACCAGAATACGGGAAAGGCAGCTCTTATGAATACACGCTGCTTGATCAAAGGGCCATCTGGTGAATGGGAAGAAAGAAAGGATTATTTATAATTACCTTAGACTAATGCTTAGGAATGCACTGAGTTACCCACAGTGAGAAATGTAATACCTGTGTCTGTAACTGTCAATTCATTTTCATTTATAACATAAACTGTTTATAGAACAGGCCAACACCCATGAGAGAAGATGGGTAGCACGAAAATTTCCAGGGATAAAGTACTCCTTAAGCCAAGCTGCAATTAAAACAGTCTCTTTGGAGAAAAGACATTATCTCTGACATGAACGTTCCCAGATGTTAGACAGTTCTATCAAAACTGGTTTCAAAGAGTAAACACGAAGAACTGCTTCAAAAAGTCCATTATCTACGACGTCAACATTAATTGTAAGGGTAAACATATGAAAGTGTTAACTGAATGAGAATATTGCTAGAAAAGCAATTCCCTTGTCACAATATTTGGATTTTCACTAAATAAGTTTCCGTTTTCTCGTGGTGATTTGTAAATGCACCTGATTCAATTGTGAACCATCAATTTCTTATCCTAGATGTGAGCTACTGTGCTCCTGGAGGGCTGCAGAATGGCTATTTGGACATTTTAGTCTTAAAAAATATGGCAAATACATGCGTGGCATGGGATATTCTTGGTAATTCCGAATACTAGCTGCAAGCCATCCTCTACACCTGTCTGTTTGTCCTTCCACTAAGTTTAAAAAATAGTAATAAAAAAGAAATTAAGGGAAATCCCTTCTTTATAGAAAGACAGACATCAGCAATGAGACACATTACTGATCATTTTACAAGCAGTTTAAGCAGTGGCCTCTCTACACATGTTGATATACAATAGAGAAAACACTGTTAACAGTTTTCAAATATTAATAAAAATCCCTAACTTGCTAGAAATCAGACTTTCCTTTCAAAGTAAATCATGCAGATCATACTTTCAATTTTTACTGTAGGTATGGAAAACATTAATTTTTAGGACACAGTGGCATAGGTAACACAATTCGAGAAAAAAAGACTGGCTGAAAACCTGATATGTTTATGTGTTCATTAAACAACAAAAAAACCCCTTAAAATAACTAAATTTGCAAACACAAAATTCCATTCATATTTTTAAAATCTCAGTATAATGCAGTCTATAGTCTAGTTGTTCCTGTAAGAACAAAATGTTTCTACAGATAAATTCTAAAATACTTGACTTGTTTTTATTTGCTATGTCCCAAATATTTTTCTATTGAACTATGCTGATCAGACATCTTGTGAAATTATTTTTTTTGTCAAGAGTAAAATTTTCAGATTTATTTTGCTTAAATGCAAATTAACTTCCCTTTTTTAGACTAGTATTGAATTTCTCTATAAAAAAGGGTAGCTTTTTATGAAGGCCTGACACAAAAGCAATATTTGTATTTGTGTCTTCATGTACCTTGTGCTTGCTTAGCATTAGCAGCGATGACGATAGCAGCCTACAGAAAAGGAACTGGTAACCAAGTCAAATGAAAGCCAGTTAGAAAAAGAATAAAATAATGACTTTCAAGCCAATAATATTTAAAACATTTTTCGTTTTTTAAAGTAAATGAAAAACCACGTCAAATCTTTGGAAACTAGATTTCTGACCTATGTGTTGTGGTTATTTTGTATCTTCCTGAGCAAAATAGCATAAAAGCACCACAGATTTCAAATATACATATAGTAAAAGAATCTTCTACCAAGCACATCACTTTTTTTTTCAGAATCCTGGACATAAAGTGATACAGTCCCCAAGAATTGTTTGAGAGGATATAACATAAGAGTGCAACTAACAATTCTTTACAACACAAGCTGAACCTCCAGTTTTCTTTACTTTTGAAAGTGTAGATTAATAGATTAATTAATACCTGCTTCCACACACAGTTGCAATGGCTTTGAAACATCCAGAGGCAAGCTGGTATGATCCAGTATAACATCGATCTATAGCCCAGTTGAAGAGATTGACTTGATCGGGATTCAGTTCTAGCAACAGGACTACAACTTCACAGCCAAGCTGATGGACCTGAGCGTATAAATACATGCCAAACCATGATGTGCAAGATCAGATATGTTCATTCTCTACAATTTGTAGAGTGATATAGGCAAAACAAAGGAAAAACGGAGTATTCAAAATAAGTAAAATAAATCAGAAAATTTATCATAGATTTATTTTAGAGATAGCAGATTTGAAATGTGATTCAGTTTTCAATACTCCTCACTTGAAAGAAAATTGTATGTACAAAGACTACATAAATGAAATAAATTTTCAAAGGAGGTTTCCAAAATTAAGCACAGAAAAAAGGAGAATCTTTGGAATATCTAAGGCACTTGGTAGGTGGTCTTGGGCAACTTCCATTTGTATTGCTTAACTGATTTCTTAAATGTTTATTTCCTACTTTATGCGTGTTTCATAAAGGAATGCACTTTCATGTTTATCCTTCTTTTGACTCACACAGAAGCAAGGCAGACAAAGAAAAATACCTTCTGCAAGCCTCGGGGTATGAAAACTTGTGCGTTTAATCCAACCACGTCAAACAATCTAACAACTCTCCCTCCAGACCTTGTATCACTTAATCCCGGTACCGCCACTGCTACAAACACATCACAACTAAGGTGTGGACTGTGCCTTTGTGTTCCTTCAGTAGAGGATAGTACTGGAACACCAAACACTAATGCCTATTAATATTCTGTCACCAAGGGTAGGTAACTACTTGTAAAGACTGCAAATGATATTTAATGTTAATGGACTGGGTAGGATCCTTATCTAAATCTGAACTAGTTGTATAGGCAATGCAGTTTAGTTACAGTCCTTCATTACAAAGATTAATCATGAATTACAGTGATTAGCTAGAGGAAACAAATTTCACCTATCATATCCAAATTTTGCATTTCAAGGGGAAAAGTTAAGAAAAGGTAATTTTTGTCCCCAGTTACTTTGTGAGTGTTATATATTAATGATCAGTTAGACATGGTGATATAATTTTTGCGGATGATAATGAAAACATGTCAGGAGGAAAAGTGTATCTTTTCCTTTCTCTTGTTCTGTGTGTTTCCGTCCCACAAGCACAAGAATTTCAATTATACATATCACTTACACATATCTTTATAGCTCCATCCCTACCAACATTCCAAAACTTTATCTAATTTCTGTAAGATTTTCCCTGTAGCTATCCCTTCTTTCTTCCAATTTGTCCAACCTTTTTTTTCCTAATCAATTACCATTTCTACAGCATGTATCTTCCAGCTGCTCCACAAGCCTTTAAGTTTTGCTGTCTGCATTTTTTTAGCAATCACAGTCACGTCTGCTGGTATGAGATTTTTTAGGGAGAAGAGTAGCCCAAAGTGCAAGATACCACAAAGGGAAAGATCATTGTTCTCTCTCTCCACTTGATGGAAACCACCAATCTAGTCCTCCTTAATCAAAGAGATAGTCCCATCAGCTGTAAATACAGAAATGTGACTGGGTAGTTAGTTACAAAGTCAAAAACCATCTTCACAGAAATGGAAAATTGCAAGAATAATCTATTACATGTTCTTTAAAAAGAAAAAAAAAATCTTTCTTTCCTCTCCTGAATCATTTATCTTCTTGACTTCTTTGGAAGATCTACCCACTCACTTTCACTCTGATTTGTTTCACCAGCATCTATTGTTACCAAGCAGGAAGGTATTTTACATTCTTACTCCGCAGAAACTTGAAGCAGGTGGGTGGAAGTACTCCAAATAGAAATACAAATATTATTGAGCTCATGCCATTTTTAACCTTCCTTTATCAGCAGACAAAAAGCCTGAATTTCTGTTGCAAGCAACACTGAGCCATAAGGCAATTTTTTTAGCTTACTCTTTATCGACATTATATTTTCAGGAATAATCATTCTTTTACCGTTTAAATGCTTTTAAATTAATTACACGTTTGTATTAGAATCTTGCATAAAGTTATTGTTTCCTGCTCAAAATAAAATGTATACAGTCATAGTTCTTCCAGTCACAAACTCTTTACTTGCCCAGTACAGAGATTAAAATTATTCATCAGTGTCACATTTTGGTGAGTACTTACACGTAAATCTTGACAAGCCAGAATGTTATCAAGCCATTTGTAAAGATATCCGTCAGGGGAAAGACCAACGTTATCAAATACAGGTCCACAGCAGAGCACAGCTGACATGGCCTAAGAACACAAGAAACTTCAGTTACACAAAAAAGTAACATGAATGAACCTTTCAGAATTATTTTAGACCAGATTCAGGCTAACGGGACTGCCACTTGTTTTTCTTTTTGAGGGAACTATGGTGAAAATGGTAACAGTTGATTTTGCTAGAATTCAATAATTACGTTGCTATAGATGTTACTGGATTCAAGATAATGCTCGGTTTAAGCATTTTGGAAGGAATACTGTAGCCCACTTTCCCCATTCTTCAGGATACATTTTGTCATTTTACCGAGTCTTCACAAATCAAGCTACCAAAACAATTAAAATACAGACATTTTCTGCAAAAATTAACATTGTTTTACACCAAGTGATGCAGCTTATATAAGTACATAAGCTATTATTTTCCCAGCTTGCTTATGTGGGGGAGTTGCAAATGGTTTTGCCACAAAAGTATTTTATTATTTTGAGTATGTCCCCAGGACAGCGTGGGAGAGAATCCTGAGATGTGCGTGTGATACTGAATTGGTACTATATTTAATTTCAGAGCCTAAGATCCTCTCACTGAATCTGATAACCTGTTAGTGAACAGATAAGAAAAATTTTAAAAAGCATTCTGGTTTTGAAAATAATTAGCCTTGAAAAGTGTCTACAAAGAAAAAAATCCATAACTTCAGTGACTCATGCTGCTATATCCTATGACCCCACTGTATACACACATATGAGTACACAAGTTTGCATCAAGGACGCCAATTCAAATTTCTGTGAAATAAAAGGAAATAACCCCCACAATTACTTGTATTTTGACTGGAAAATTGCTAGTACTGATTTTGACAGTGCAATGTCAATACCTTTAATGCACAATACTGGTATCTTGTAATCTGATGATTCCTATCACTGTAACGGTCCAGGGGTGTGAACATAATACTGAAAGGTCCTGCCCACTGGCTGAATAAGATGAACAGGTGATGCCTCAAGCTCTGCTGAGGGAAGAGAAATCTCCTGTGGTGAACTAAGTGAACAGAAATAGAAATAGTCGTGATTTGTTAATGTTAAATACACATTCATGTGGCAGAGATGATGACACAAAGTTCAAATTTCTACAAAAAGGGAGTTTTTCTTAAATGTTCACTCACTCCAAAGTATCTAAGCTGCTTTTAAAAATCTAGTGAAGTGAGTAAGATGCATCTTATTTCTAAGAACCTTCAGTTCTGAATTAATGTGTAGGTATACAAACATGTAGACCTGACTTTAGAAACAGCAGGCAAGAAACTAATTATAGAATCAGGCTTTTCATTGCCTCTTGTGTTCCTTTAGTGGCAAATATTTACTTGTTTTTTCCAGTCCTTTAAACAGAAGCCCAAACAATACATATGTCCTAATCTAATACAGTAATAGGTAGGGACAAGAAATAAAAGAAACTTGGTGCCAGTTTGTTTATGCCAAAGACATGGTATATTTTCTGAACAGCTAAATTACCTGAGCAAATGAAAAATACCTATGAATTCTTAACCATGTGGAGAAAAAAAAAGAGAAAACTGTTAAACAACAGTTTTAATTCCCCTAAGCACAACGTGATGGCAGAGGCAGTACTACGTTTATTAAAGAGAATGGCAAACTGCTGTTGGACAATGATTTTTCACCTAGAAACCGTGCTGGAAGTCAACAAAGTCTAACTAGACAATACTAATGCAAATCAATATGAACAGCGGTTAAAGATAATAGATCTTGACACAATAAACATTTGTTTGCTAGGAGTTCAATGTTATGGCTTTGGTAGTTATTGATATCTTTTAAAGCCGTCTTGTTAGCAGAAATACATCTCTGAATTATTGAAATGCATCAGTTATTATTCTATTCTCTCAAAACATACAACATGGCTGTTTCATTGTGGAAAATTCATACAACATGCAGTCATTGGTCCCATGCCTTGTAGAACACGAGAATAAGTGCAAAGAGGAAGGCCTTTGCAAATACTCATGGCAGAGTAACTGCTAGAGAAATTCTGTATTGTTAATGAGCATCATTTAGAAGAGGAATAAAGGAAAGAAATTCAGGTTTTTGTTTGTTATCAGCAGCTAAGAACTTGATACCACTCAGTTCAAAGGGATTTTTTTACTGTCTTAAGTGAAACTAGCAGGGATGCCATTTTTTCCTTATTTTGTTTGACTATTATATAATTTTTATGTCTCTCAGAGCTGAAAGCAACTATACAATTTTGTCAAAATTTGCACACTGGAAACTTACATGAAAGCATTTGTACATTACTTATTCCCTTTGCTCTTTTGAATTCCTTAGTATTTGTTGCTACCAAGCTGCTACGTCCTGTCATAAATGATTTGGAGACAGTAAATTTACATAGACTGAGTAAGCTCCAGACCTTTTCTTCCAGTAATTACATGGAGGCCTTTAAAGTAGACTTATTTTTTAATTTTTTTGCCAATGGAATTTCATTACATTTCTGAAGGGATCTTGCATTATATAAAGAGCATGAAATCAATTGGAGAAATCTTTGCTATATAACTGGAATCAGGTAGCATGGGATACAGTCTCAACACCTCGGGCAAGTTTTTCACTACATTTGATATTGTACATTGTCTGCACCTACCTATATTCTCTACGGCCTGTCTGAGCTTATGAAGAGTCTGGCAATAAAGTCAAAGGGAAGAAAATAAGGCCTTATGTGAAGGAAATCTGGAGCCCCTAGAGGTCCCAGACAATTTTTTTGCTGGGCTTTTAAACAGATGATTCTTATATATGACTATTACAAGCTTCTTCAAGCTTTACTGTTATTTATTTGACTCTTAATAGACTTTTGAATACATCTTTGTCCACATTCCCGTTTACATTTGTTATATGACTATTCACAGGCAGTGAAAAAAGCACAGAAAAAAAGGAAATAAAAAATTACTTTTATGATACATATATAAATACAATTTTACAGTATGTTGAGATAATTTAGCACCATACCTGGAACACACTGAATCAAGTTGGCAATCATTGCACTGAAATGTGCTCTCATATCCTTAAGGATTTCGACTTCTTTATCATTTTCAGCCTCCAGAAGCATACGAGTCAGATCAACATACTCTAAGAACAAGGCTCCAAGGGCTAACGTATCTCTCTCCAAGGCTCCATTTGTACTAGCATAAAGGAAAGTTGCACATTAATACAGAGTAACAGTGTAGTTTACCACAGCTTTCTGAAGAAATGCATAAAAATCTCTCCATATCTGATAGATTACACAATTCTTCAAAGAACATTACCTACAAAAACTCAGTGTCGCAAACACTGAAAATTATTTCACTTAGAGATCAGTATTTATGATAAGTGATAGTCCTACCTGTCACTTATAACACCAGCATCGGCAAGTAGTTCAAAAATTCGCAGTAACTGCAGTCTTAGTAGATCTCGGCGTTCTCGACGTTTCTTGTTCTTGGAATTGAAAAAAAACAATGCTTTTTAACATGCACAGGTGAATACATTAAAGACTAGTAACTTCAGAAATGTCAGTACGGTAGTGAGATTTAAGAATTCCAGTTCAAGCATTTCTTTCATGAAGGAACTTGATTACTTTTGGATATGTGATCATAACAGTTTGCTTATGCATCAACACAGAACTTCTCTTTGTAACTATTCTTGAACACACCTTAGTCTTCATCAAAAATATGGAAATAAAATAATGAAATACTGGATAAAAATTAATTCATATTCAAGGTTCCTGTGCCAAAAAACATGCTATCTTCAGATGTTAGCTTAACACCATCTAGTCTGGGTGCTGAAAGCATTGTAAAGCACAAAACAGATATCCAGACCCCAGGAAAATGTTTTAGCAATTAGCCATTCTTGAACTTGGCAATGCTGCAGCTCCATGATCACCCATATTCAAGTTAGCGCCTAGCAGACACCACCGCAGTACACTCTTGGATGCGTTGACTGCAGTGGTTGTACACACAGTTAACATACTCCTCCCGTAGAACAGGACTGCTCTGTTGTTAACTGGTTCATTGTATCTCATTATCTTCTAGAAAGCTGTCCTTTCTGTCTTCTGTCTTGCCTTGAAAGCTGGGAATGCAACAAGGCCTGTTCTTTGCTGAAGGGCTAAATTGACTTGTTTCTTTGTATCCTGCATCTCCACTAAGCAAAAAATGTGAGAAGGTCAAAAGGCTGCTATTGCACTCCAAGAAATTTGCTGCCAGAACAAGAAAAGCTCAGAGAAAGCTCAAATTTTCCTCTTCTGAGCCTAAGAATGGCAATACTGAGTCAGACCAAAGCCTTATCTCACCTAGTCCTCTGGGTGTGCCGACGGCCAGTAGCAGATGCCTGGGAAAAGGCAGTGATACTTGCCCTGGTGTTCTGACCCAGGACTGGTGGGCTGCAGCATCCTAGCCAAAGGCTTTGTTCAATTCATTACGCCATTTGCTTCGTCCTATTCAGAGCCCTGTACTTCTCCCTTTACACCTTAAAGCTTCCAGGAAGCACATGTAGAGAAAAAAGCAGTTTTATCGTAACACAGTATTTATCAGGCAGAGCTGCCTCCTGCACCAGTGTCAGAGGCGATCTGGCAAGCTCTGTGCCAGTGCCCATGTGGTGGATCTTGTGTAACGTCCGTTTTGGTTTATGCCTGCGGTTCTTGGCCATGCTGGTAATTCTCTTTCTAGTCGTAGCATATGTCAGTTCAAGGATGTTATTTCTGATGTGTTGGATACCTGCCTGCTGACACGGAGGCTTGCCATGTTCTCTACAGCTACACGGCCCATACAGTCACTCCTGGCTTTACTGGTGGTGCTGCTTGCGGGGAAGTGGCCCACTTCTTCATAACAGGAGCACTACAGGAATTAATATTGCAGTCTCTTGTTCTCACATGCCGCTACTGACATTTCCATGTGCTAAATTTGCTCTTACAGCATACTGTAAACCTCTGCATTCTCGTGATTCCTTTCCTGAGGGCTGACTGGATATGTATGTCTCCAGAAACGGCCTTTCAAGTCTAAGTTGTCTTCAGTGGTGCACAGGCAGAAATGCAGAGGCAAGTGGCTGCACTAACGTGTATTAATCCACCTCTGCCCAGTATCAAAACAAGTGACCTTCAAATCAATGACTTCGTAGGGATGGAAGGCACACAAGTGAATCGAGGTGTGAAGCAACACAGAAATGGTTGTGGACATTTGCCAGACAGAATTATTAAGAATTGTCCACAGAAAACTTAACATGAATGAAGCGCCCGCCAAGTGAATTAATTTCTGCTTATTTCCATATTGGGCATAGCTGAGAGCCTCTGTCCACCTATTAATGATTTAACTTCTTCCTGATCACCATTCTTTGCGTGGCTTCTGCACCGAAGACTATGACTTGGCCGACGGGGACACCACACCAGGTCACCATGACAGTACCTTATTGAAACCGCTGTGGAGGACACAGTAGTGAACGCACAGTTTGAAATTGCTTGAGAAGCAGGTAAACAAGCCTGAGTAGAGGACAGTATTACTGCAACAACATCACCTTCTTTCCGTAGCCATGCAGACTTCTCAGCAGAGCTGCATGGACGCAATGGTTGTGTTTACACCAGTAAACAGAGATAGGGGCTGTTTGTGGCTCTGAAGTCAAGTAGCACAGGCTGCCGTGTATTCACAGTGATCCAGAAGACCTCAAGAAGTCCATGTTGCCTGGCAGGACTCATGCAATGCTTCTCTGGCCCCAGGCATTATCAGTGCGTGTTTTCTTACCACAACCTGCCTGCTCTAACCTGAGGGCTGGGCTGCAGCCAGAGCAGTCGTTTCGCAACTTGGCCCGTAGGTTGCTGCAGACAGGGAGGGAGTGAGGGGATGAGGGAAAGCAGAGCACAGCAAAAGCAGCCGGGTATGTTCGGAGGATGGTGTCTGGTGGCTCGGTGCCTTCTGGGGCTTGCTCCTGGGAGTGAGCTACCTCCAGAACCATCTCAGATTTCCATCTGGGAGCCAGCTGGAATGGCCCAAAACTGAGCCAGGGAGGGAAAACCGAGCAGAACGGCAACTTGAGTCCAGTACTGAAGGTCTCCTCATGGCTTTCCCATTTAACCTCATAGACACATCCCGTGACTAAACTGCTTACTGAGGATACAGAGCCTGTCACCGGCGGTTTTTAAGGACAGTTTAGACAACATCTGTCAGGAATGACACAAGACTAGTTCATCCCCCCTCGGATGGATCGGATGATCTGTTGGGATCCCTTCTAGCACTACTTTCTATTATAAGAAAAGAGAGTAGTATAATGAAGGTGAAAACACTGATGAATTTGTCAGTTAACCTGTTGTATTTAGAACGAAAAGATGTAGTCAACTGAAGTTGAAATAGATGACCCTGCCTACCCTGCAACTAAAAGGCACATCTGAACACTGCTGAAAAATGTGCCTGTAGCCCACCGGTGTTACAAGGAATTTTTTTTCAGATATCGAAAGCGGATTTCCAATATATCTGAGTTCCATATGAGGAGGTTCCATATTTCACAAGAAATTCTTCCTCAGAATGGATTTCTATATTGTAAATTTTATATGACTGCTAGAATTTAAATTAAACTAGGTTTTAACAGAATTATTTTATGTTCTTATACACAATTAATAAAATTCTTGTTGCACACAAAGCTTAACTTGTTACTTAGTACAAAAGAATATCTTTGTATTTCAAAGAGACAAAATTACTACCTTTAAATTAATTTTGCAGTTTAAACAAACTAGTACATTTAATTTCTGCAACTAACCTCTGGTCTTCTTTCCAGGGCTTCTTTCATTAGTGGGTGAAGTTCTTCTACTAATTCTCTAAATTAAAAAAAAAAACTTTGTAAACAAAATCTAGTCTCCTCTGAAAAGCATCATTATTCCATTCAATACATAAAAATAAATGTCTAAAGTGCAAATAAAAATTTGACTATATTTAAATTACCACAGAAATAATGCATTTAGATTAGAGGCAAATAATTGAGAATATGATAAGTGGGGAAGTACCTGAAAACAAGTGAATTTGTTCTTCCAAATCCTAATACAAGTGATTCTGTTATTTCTATGCTTTCAAGTCTCATCAAAGGCACTAGCTGCTTTAGTAAGACTCCAACAGATGGAGTTCCAATAGCCTAAAATATATTAAGAAATTATTGACATTTAATTGTCAGGATTATCAATATTAAGTAAATACATTTTTTTTAACAAAAACGACATTGTCCAAGAATCAAAATGTATTTTAAAAACCTGCTGAAATGATTTTACTATTATGGATATCAATACACCAGTCTAACTGGATGCCTGCTACATAACAGTCATCTCAATACGGCCTAACAAATAAATACATCTGGGAAATCTCTTTGCTTTCATTCAGATGATTGTAATTTACTTAATTTGTTATTTCATTAAAATATTCCAGTAATTGCATTTGTGGAGCTACTGCTCCTCTCAGGTTACTACTACTTTAAACTGTATTTCATATAATATTCCTTCATCTCCAACAGGCATACAATGTTTATTCAGAAATCTGCCTTACTGCTTAAGAACATTATAAATTTACAAATTGGAGTGCTCTACAAGGAAAGAAAGGGGATGACAAACTAAAGTTAACTTCAACACATATGTCCAGAACTTCTATATCTTGAATACACATCACCTAGAATGTGAAAAAAAAAGTAATATTTTGAAATGACACATCATGTGGATACAGATTATACAGGTGTTTTAATGGTTAATTACGTGCCTTAAGCAGTTTGTGTATATCAAAATATTTCCCTAACTGAAATACTTCCATCAGGATATGATTTTCCATGCAGATGCAGTTTAAAACTCTCCTAAATGAATAATTTGTTTGAAACAGAATGCATCACCTTATTATCATAGTTCACTGTTCCATCAGGAGTGGTAGCCATGATCTCTGGTGTTGAAGCACGCAGGTGTCCTGGGCTCATAATACTGGGCTTTGCTACTCCAAAACAGAGAATAAGATAGTTTCTCCACAAAGTAACATAGTTGTCTCCACTGCTTGCTGTACTTGTTTTCTTTGCATTAACAGGAATACTAGAATTTAAAAATAAATTAAAATTATTAAAATAATTTCCCAGTCTTAATTACATAGTATTTTACAATATTTTAAAAGGGAATAAAACATGCTACGTATCCACCAGCTAAAGTTCAGCACGACGTGATACAGGAGAAAAAGCAACAATTGCAACAAAAATTCGACAAAAATTTTTCAACTGTTGAAAAATCAACAGTTGCAATTATGAAACTCAAAACTGAATGTCTGGGTAGCACCTTGCAGGACTTACAGACTGATACTGAAACATGAGACTAAAAAGGCTTGTATTAAAACCACACAACCCCTAAAAATGAAAGTTAAATGCAGATTACCACTTACTTTGGATCCACAAGAGGCATTATCAGCTGTAGCCTCGTGAAAGCGTATGGCCAAGCATAGCTGAGAGCTGTAGGACAATGTTTTGGTAAATTCTCCTGCCTAAGAAAACTGAAGAGGCAGAGAACCCATGGGTCTTTAACGGACTGTGCAAATATCCAGACATGGGAAGGACTTTTCACATCATAATGGCTATTTACTAGGACAGCATTCCACTCCACCAGCCACTGCAAATCCACACTGTGTGTTAATGGAATTGTTGTCTACGGAGAGAAAAGATAAAAAAAATCACAGTGACAGTCATTTATTCCCTGCCATGTTCCCCCTCAGTACTTGTCTTTATTTTCAAGCTTCACGGCCAACCTCTGTCGGATTTTTTAGACCAACGCTTTTATGCTTCCCATCACATTGCCCTTTCACTCAGGAGGAGCTTTTTACAAATGCTGAGAAGAGCTACCTCATTATTTCCCCTCTGGTTCTTCCTTAAAGCTCCTATTTACTGCGATAGGCACAATATCTTGCCCTTAAACTCGACGATAACTAATGATTATGCTGACCAATATAGTCTCATTGTTGCTTTCTATTCTTGCTGCCTGTGCCCATCCACTGTCTCTTGTACGATGCTGCAGTCTGTAATAGGTATAGACTGTCCTTATGTTCGCTGTCTGGACAGCCGGACAGAGCCTTAGCCCATGATTAAGACTCCTACATGCTATGACAGTATGATAAATACCAATGCTATTAATAAATATTCTTCAGAATTCATCAGGGCATTTGAATATGTGTGTAGGGATTTAAGAGGCTGAAGCAGATGCTTAAGCAGTTTTAATCCACTTTAAATCCTGCTACCTTCAGTGGCAAGTAGGGTTCTCATATCAACAAACCATTTCTCTACTGTAATTTAAATTTTGTCTTAAGAAAACAACTTTGTAAAATGAAAACTTAAAACATATGTATTTTGGCATCCTTGTTATTCACTTATCCGACCTCAAATAGGATGTAACAGTTGCCTGCATCCTGCATCCACTATTACAAAAGCAATCACTAAATTACCACTCCCTGCTGTACTTGTCAGAAATCAGGTACACAGGCAACACATCTGCTTTGCTATATTATTAATGCATAGAAATAAAGCACAAAATCCAAACCTTCATCTATAGAAACTGCAACATCCAAACCCAGGTGCTGTTATTTCAGCTGAATATCCTAATTCCTGGGTTACAGAGTCAGAACGTCTCTTGCTTGCTCAGGTTCTAATCCCTCAATTTTCCTGTTTTCAGCTGCACAGTGGCCTGACTTCACCACCAGTTCGATGTCCCCTTCCTAGCCAAGGAAAGGGCACTCATGTGGCAAGGACTGATTGTTGCTTTCAACTTAATCAGGCTGAAAAGTGCCCAAACCTGATAAGTTTCTGCTCTGTGGACAAGGCCACTAATCTCTAAGAGAGTATGCAAAATAAGTTGCTCTATGTATCAGTTCTTCTGCTGATGCTTCTTCATTTAAAATGCTTACTGCATCTCTGCTTCCTCTGGTGGCATGTTAGACACATGAAACCCAGGAGGGAGCGAAAGGAGGGATTTACCCCAGCTGTGAATTACTCTAGAGCTTAGGCTTAGGTTTGCAGGCAGGGCCCCTTCTGAGCACACAAGGGAGCTCAAACTGACTCCCTTCTGGAACAGACGATGGCAATGAGTGACTTCCAAGTGCCACAAGCATCAGGTGGTGCTGGAAAGAAGACTTTCTCAATGGTTCTTTTGGATGAAGGTCACAGGTCCAGAATCTAGGTAGCTTTGATTATAAATTTTGTTATAATTTTTTCTATAGGTAGTGATTTTTTTCATGGAACAGATTGTCTGGGACATTGTGGAGCCTTGGAGCTCTTGGTAGATGGCTGGAGCCTTAAAGCTGTACGATTTCTTTGATTTCTAACAGCTTTATTTTTAGTATTTCATGTCTTGTATTTTTTATGTCCATGTGCTATGTAAACACTAGCAGTAACAGTAAAGTAGTACTTACTGAATCCGAAACAGCCACATGAATAAAACTTTCAAGAATAGAAGAACTCAATTGATCCATGACATCAATCATAGGCCTGTCATCATCCTGCATAACACAGAGAACACAAGTTAACTGCTCTCCTGACCAAATTATTTCCCATCTTATTTTTCTAGTACATGAAACAGAACCACCTAAAAATCATGACACGAATCTAAAACGGCTAAAAAAATTCATTGGTAACGATGGGTGCATTTTGTCTTTTTCAAACTAATCTCAGAACCGAGTCCAGGTTGTGGTTTGAATTGAAGTTAATTTGTGGTTATAGCTCCCTGCTTACCGAACAAAAGCACATATCAGAAAATCCCAAATGACTTTGGATAGCTGGTATCAAAAGACTGAAAAATTAGCTTACTGTTTATTAAAGCATTCCTTTCCCGTGAACACACATATTTGTGTTCTTAGGCATTTAGATGGCTCACTGAGCTGTGACCGCCAACACACAACACGACTCTCCGCATTTCTACATCCATAAAAAAGACTTAGAGGTCTTTACTGCACAAGGAAAACATATGTGAATAATCTTAAATGTGTCTTATGCTGTGTTTTTTACAAAACGGTATGCTACAGGAATGAGTTTCATTTCCAGTACAAATTTATAATCCTGACAATATGAAAATGATCCATATAGTAAAAAAAGGTTTTACAGTGTCTTTTACATTCACATCATGCCAAGAGAAAATATTAGGTTGCTGTACATGTTTCCCTTCAAATTCTTGTACAGGGCACACGTTATTGATGTTACATTGTTAAGTACACAGAAAGGTTTGTAGTGTTAAGGCAAATAGAAATGGTAAGCTCAGACCAAATGCTTTTTTATAAACTAAGTGCATACCTGCTACACCGCACCAATTACGTTAAAAGCAACTGTAATAGCAGTTTTGAGCTTTATCTTTGGAAAATTTTAATTCAAAGTTCCAGAAAAGGAAAATCATACCTCTGTCTGGCCAAGGGCCAGGAATAAAGCACGGATCTCTCTGAGGATTAAAACAGCTAGCTTACGCGTAGCGACCTGGAAACTACACAGCAGAACCAGTGCAAATCCTTCGACTGCGTGTAGTACATTAGAATAGGGGCTTCTTTCAGACTGTATCCTGTGGCTGGATCCATTTGGTATCAACTGCAGAACAGTGCAAGGGGGGGAAAATGGAATGATGGCGTTTGAAAACCAGGGCTCCATGAAATACTCTAGTTAACTAGGACACACATAGAAACAAAATGCAGAGGCCATGTAAATGCTGAAGTCAGAGAGTAACAGCGTTCCTTCAAACAACCAAGTTTTGTTGCTTTAGGTTATCTTGTTCCACAAAACCAATGTATGAGCAGAGTCCTTTCTCCAAACACTTCCCTTGAAATTCAAGTACCTGCTTTGTTCCATCCTCCACTAAAAAAATGAGTGGGTAAGTCAGACTGTGAAGACTTCCCACTTTTTCTACTCCAGATAATAGCTCCTCAGGTCCTTCTTTGATCCTGTAGCAGGCAAGACCTTAGGTATGGCCTCTAGAACCTGACCCCACCAGTAAAGTGTAACAATATTTACTGAGAAGTATGTGAGGATTTCTCTTTTCTACATTCTTTGTAATACAATTATTATTACCTATTAATTAATGTTTCTCTGTGATATAAAGCAGACATCATGCTTGCCCAAAGGAAAACAATTCCCATGTGACTGGGTTAGGAGATAAGAAGCCTGAAAATCATCTCTCATAATGAAAATAACTGTGGGACAGAGCAGATGGGAGGAGCAGGAGCAAAGCTGTTCAGTTCCCAGGAATGTTTGTAACACATGGAGACAGCAGGCTGTAGAAACAATAGGGTTCTTTGATGTTTTTGAATCAACCCAATGAAATGGCTACGGGAAGGGAAGATCCACTTCACTCTTCTCAGCGTTCCCACCAGCGTTATCAATCAGTTTCAGTCCTGGGAAAATGTCCTTCTGCCACATCTACATACACATATTTCACTTTATGTGCTTTGGTTGATGTGCGTATTTCAGTTTGACATGCATTCTCTTATGTTGCTCAACAACAAAAACATCTGCTGTATTACACACGGACATAGCTGTCCTCAAAAGACACCTGAACTAATTACCCTAAAAAATCTTATGTAGTGAATTCTTCCCAGACGAGTAAATGCGTAATACACAAACCACAGTAATAGCAAGGAATGTAATTTCTGCCTTCAATTAGTATAAATGTTAGGACACAGATTTCTTGATTTCATACCTCTCCAGATCTGGTTTTTGCCTGCTCAGAAGCTTTTCCTGGAGTGTGTATTACAAGCTTCCATTGTGTAAGCAACTGTAGCAGCAATTTCAGTGAAGTATCAAGAAGGGTATGATGCATATCATTCACTTCACGTAGCAGAAAATTAGTAAAACCAAAGAGTACATCCTCCCGCCAGTCAACAAAGTCAACAAGTAGACCCTGAAGAGAATTCTGTGCAATGTGTCGAAGTTCATCATCCATATGGATAGACAGCCTGCAAGTAAAAGTAAATGTCAGGTAACAAAAATCTCAGGAGTGTTTACTGTGGTAAGGAGCATATATTTCTCGGTAACTTAACACTGACTGGAAAATTCCCAGTGACAATTTCAATGATGCTATCGTGGTTTCATTACTACCGACCACAATTAACATCCTTAACCTGTTTTTACACTGTAATTCTTGCTACAATGGCGCCTGCAGATATTCACTGATCTAAAAGAATCACTGGCATTTGTGGCACTCCTAAAAGATAATGTCTTTAAAGTACATAATTTGGTAACTTTGCTGTCTCCATGAACCAAGTTTCAATTTACTCACTTATAAAATGACGCCTATTTAGTTATGATAACAAAAGGCTTACAGGTTAATACATAATTTCATAATTCATGTATTTGTTTACTTTCAATATAAAAGAATCACAACACTTCAGCTGCCTAACAGTTAAAATGAATCTTTAGCCAAGAAGCAAACCACAATTACTCAAAGCAAATCCTCAAAAGTAACAAAAAGAATTTGAATTAAAAAACTGCTTTATGTTTTAAACAACTTAGGATAGGGAAATGGGAAAAACAGGCTCAGGACTTTCCATACAACACATCGGACACCCCCAAAGTCCCTCTGAAAGATGGTGCAATTTTAGATCCCATTTTCAAATTTTATTTCCTTCTGTATCTTCATTGTGTTGAAGTTCTTTTCAACATAAAAATTCTTTATACTTTCTTTCGACACAAAAATTATCAAAGCACTTCTGTGTTGGTAGCTTGGCAGAATAAAGTACATTCAGATCTGTGTGTTCTGCAATTTTTGGTTCATTGCCTTTATGATGTATTTTGTTTTAATTACCCATGAGACTGTAATTTTCTGTAGTGTGTTAGAACTCATTTTCAAAGTATTTTATCCACATTTAAGCTACACAGTTGAAAATGAGGATGCATTATGAAGTAATGGACAGAAAGCTAAGACAAAAAAACCAAAACAGCCAAATGGAGTGGAACCAAATTCCATTCAGTTGGAAGTGTATGATGAGATGCGGCTCATAACAATTTGGTTCATTATAGCTGCCTAATTGGGAGGTAGGGAGCATTTTGTTTAAGTCCAAGGAAAATGACTGCCATGACACTTTACCCCTGGTGAGTACCACTGCAAAAATAACTGTTACATTTTAATAACCACGTGACTTTCTATATAAATTTGGAAACACAGTATTTAGTTGTGCTAAGAAAGGATCATTTTTGTCTCCTCTTCAGAATGCCAAAACCAGAAAAACAAGTAAAAGCCCTGACTATGATTAAGTCATCCATGAAATGACTTCCACAATGACACAAAGTAATAATGGAAAAGAGGATTAAAAGGACATACGTCTCGAAGTCCAAGTTACTGTGCAACGGCATGATCAAATGAGATAAAATTCAAATTGAGCATAAAAACGCATCTATGTATTAGCACTATATGACAGGCAGCTTGAGGAAGCAAGTAAATGTTACTTTGATTGCACTTGAGACATTTAAATTTAAGACCTACTTGGGAATTTGTAATGAATGGTTTCAGTGGGCAATGAAAGGGCAAAAGGTATATACTTCACATCTGCTTTATCGCTTATAATTTGAATACAGCTGTCCTGGAAGAAAGTCTAGGTGCTGAGTTACAGACTCCTTCTGGAAACCACCAAAAGACCCATGGGTTGTGAAGATGAAAAATTCAAACCAAACTGTGGATAAAAGAACCCATTAGCCCAAAGATGTTATTTTATCTTTAATGAAAAGAAAATATTTAACAGCTTTCCATCCCAACAACACAGCCCCACACAAATCCCTGGTGGAAGGTCTTCTCAGGTTCTTTTCAGAAACAGGGAGGAATTGAAACCTCACCTCTTCAAAGTATTTTATCTTTGCATTGATTTTAGCCTCTGACCCAGAAAAGACACAATATTGTAATGCAGTGTTTTCTAGGACAGCAAAGAATCACCTTTTGGAACTACTTTTTCATAATTGGGAGAAGTAGTCAGCCTAGACTCAAATAAATGTGGGATAGTATATGTAGAGAATGTAGAAGTTGCTCTGGTGCTGGGGTAGTCTGGAGATTTACATTAAGATTAGGCCAGGTATTAATTCCTTAAACAGTTTATTACTTTCTTCTCTGAAGCTATATTTTTGTAGACTGTTTTCAGTCCATGCTGTCCCAGACTAAATAGACGTAATTCTTTCAAACCCAATGATCTTTCTTTCCCTTGTACTCTGGTCATTCTCTTCTTCAACCGCAATGCCCCAGCTTGGACATTGTTCTCCAAATCAGGCATCCTTGATATTGATTAGACAAGAAGAACTTTTTCAAAACTCTTTTAGACTTATTCCTATTTATACGTGTGAAAAAGGTTTGCCTTTTCAGAGGAACATCACTTTTTTGTGTGTTCAGTTTGTGATTCTGCTCTGCAATACTGGGACCCTACCCACTTATTTCGACACCATGCTACACGTTTCCTGAACCATGAACTGTCTGTTAACTGCTTTCCAACTTCCATCCACTTACTTTTACCTAAATTGTGATTTCCTTGCTTATACTTGAGAATCTGATTTAAAACAGTATCAATGTCTCAAAGATGCTGTAGCATGTGTACATGCAGGAGATGAGAACAGCTTCCCAAAGGTCCCCTTGTTGGGGAAAGGCCGAGCCTGTAATTGCTTCCAAAGCTGCTCTAGAGATGGTGTCCTCAGCTCCTCTTGATGTCTCACTTCTCATAGAGTCCGAGTCCGATAACCTAGCAGACCTACAGCTTGCACGGAAATTACCCAAGAAATGCTTACAAACTGATTGTGGCTAAAGAATCACAACTGACCTTCTCTGCAAGAAGTTTGCTGACCAGTGGTTATATTGACAGTTGTGAGACTTCAGGAGGGAAGCACTAATTTATGAAGAAATCCACATTTGTCTCCAAACTTTCTTATAAGTAGTGACAGGTCTGACCTGGACAATCCTCTGTGATTGAAGAGCTGTGACCAGAATGGATACATGCTTTCTATCAGCTCGGATAAGGCCACTAATAAGGATAGAAAGCTAGTTAAAATATTAAAGGAAAACACGTCCTTTTTCATTTCCCTTAAGCAGAATTGATGTAACTACTTAATCTGGTACCTGTATAATTTGATAATGTAATGATTTAAAACAACCCACCAGTGATTAATAGCAGAGGATGTAAACACAAGGAAGTCAAGCTGGCCACGCACCACAGCACACCTACCACTGGCGGCAGTTTTGGCTTGTCTGGCTGCCTGCACTCTCTACTACTAGCAGAATTAATTGTTTCACTGTTTTAGCACATCACTGGGAGCTGGGTGTTCATAGAGCAGAAAAAACTGCTTTTGCATGTAACCCTCTGGCTCCTACATCTGCCATTGCTCACAGACGTTTCAAAAGCGAGAATGGAGAGGCAAAGATTGCTTTGTCACTCTTACCTGAGAGCAATATATTGCAAGGGCCTCGTGGCTCGATTTAGTACCATTATCCACTTACATAAGTAACACATGCTGGAATCTTTGGCTTGGATACTAGAATTGAAATGTAACAGACTTTTCTGTACCGACCAGCATCTGTTATCATAATTATTTGTAGTCAGTCATTGATGGGATGTCCTGAAACCTAACTGTTTTAGCAATGTGTTGTTGACTACCTTGTTCAGTGAAGTGAAGTCTATCTAGATAAATTCAATGGACCCCAAGCAGGGAGGATATGATATTTAAACTTATCCTTTTCTTTATTTTATGTCTTGTAATAGTAATAATTAAAAAATCAAAATAATTTTTATCAATTTAAAAAGTTTTTTGAAAGATACCACATCTAGTACATTCTGTTTTACCAAACAGACATCTGGGAATCATAAATCAAAACCGAACAGGTATCTCCATGTTTTTCCACTACGCAGAAAAGATGTTCTCTCCTGTTAATCAGAATGCTGTGATGGTTAAAAAAAGGTAATAAATGGTGAACATCATGAAGAACAGCGAATATCATGTAACCTACATACTGATGGAAGAGAGTTCTGGATCACATATCCTCTCTCTTACAAAATTATGAGTCTATAATATAAACACAATGACTGTAAAAAGACGGCAGGAATTCTGGGTCTTATCCATTAATAGCACGTTACTTTTTATAAGCATATGGTTTTGTCTAAGAAACAGTTACATATTCTGTGGCTCAGTTTTTCATTCTGTTCCCCTTGAGCAGTCATTAGCTTGGACAGCTTACCTTGCCAGCAAGTCGATCAACTCAAGTTTTGACATTCCATCAGGAAGCAATCGAGGAATAGCAGCAACGCATGTTCTGAACAGATCAATTTTTGGTTTTCTTTCACCACTGAAAAATTAAACCAGAATTTTGACTAAGCTTAACAAGTAACCATGTTAAATGATCCACCTACAGTTTTCAGAAAAGGGCTGGACATACTGGAGCGCCAGAGGCCTACTAAGAACACCAGGGCAGAAACCTAGACACTACAAATGAAATAAAAAGGAAACATGAATAAATGTTTCCATTGAATGAATGGTTTTGATTTTCACATTTTTCATGCATCGTATCTATACAGTACTTGAAAAATCAATTATTACTGATTCATTTGTTTCTTTCTGAGAGGAACTGGCAGACATATCAAGATGGAGTTACAATGTAGGAGGATTCCTCCATCAACATCAGCATTTGTGTGATGCAAGTTTCGGATGAGGCAATGAGGAAAAGGTTGGGGTGTTCCTCATCACAGTGCAGCTATATTACACCAGCTGTATAAAGCAAATAGCAGATATATAAGAAGCCCCAATGACAAGACTGAAGATCCAGACGCTTGCCCTCAATAGGGCACAGATCTGTGGAAATCGCACACCACACACTGTTACACTGAAAAAGAAGCGTAATTTAGAGGTAGGTATGGCCAGAGAATTTCTGTTGATCCCTGCCTGAGATAGCAGCACTTTAGCAACCATCACCAGCTAAAACATGTTTTAGTAGCCCCAAGGCTGCTCTAACCTGTGGGATGGCTCATCTGTTCCCTAACAGCCTGGGAAAGTGGTTGAGTCTAAAGTTCAGCATGAACCAAACGCTAGGCTGGGAGTCCTTAAGTCTTCTAAAAGTAGCTCCAGTTTCAGCTGCTGATTATTTTCACAACAGAAGCAGTTGTTTTCTGACTTGTTTCCAATATTTTTTTGTAAGAATGCAGATTAGAGAAGCCCTTCACACAGACCCCAAAATGTGGGGTTTCTTTATTTGCTCATTTTTAACTCGATGACTTATTATTTGACAATTGAGCACAGAGGAAATAACCAAAGCATAACAGTATTTCAAACTGTACAGTCTTTCCCACAATATTATTAATCATTAGCCTGTAATATGCTTTGGAGGAATCAAAAGAACAAGGTCCTATTTAGGGACCCTACTATAAACATGCAGAGAAAGACTGCTCCCGCTTTAATACGCTTCCCGTCGAACTAGAAAAGAATGGGGGGAAAAAGAGAGACACCAAGAAGCATTGTAAGCTACTTAACACCACACTGAAATTCAGTGACAAAACAGAAAACAAATCTGGTTTTCTTGCAGCCCAGTCCAACGCCCCGCTTACTACGTGACTCTGCCTCTCCACCCAACAGAAGAGGCATTTGGATGCCTTACTTCTGTCTTCAGTCACAGAGAAAGCCTGAGTGCGATACCATCTCACAAGTCTAATACAAGATTTCTAGAGTACCACTGAGCATTCACTGAAATAATGGGTACAGAAAAGGCATAAACTGACATTAGGCTTACTTAATTCCACGATTAAAGGCAGTTTTGTAGTGAATACCATTCTTTTGCTTAACTCCCTATATACTTATCAGCCTGGACATATATTACATTAATAAAATGATGATATCATTTTTAATCTACTTACTTAAATTGTACATGAGGGGAAACTATTTTCATCATGAATTATCTCTGTCTCACTGTATCTGTATCCTAACAGATAGACCTTGAAAGGTTCTGGCAAGAAAGCAACTGACTTGAAAAAGAGTAAAATACAACATCTCATCTGAGAATTTGGTTATAAACACATCCCTTTGAACTAGTGTTGCTAATGCAAATACTAGTTGGATTAATAACTAGTGCAAAATGCTATATTTTTATAGTTGTAAACAATAAAGAGCCATTGGCAATTTTATCTGCAGGTAAACCAAGGAGTCTTCCCCGCTGACTTGAAATGGAAAGTGAACTTGCAGAGTTTCCTTATTATCAGTCCCCAGCGAGGGCAAACTGTGCATTTAAAATGGAAGCATGTAAAACAATAGTCTGAGAGGAAACTCTTCTGAAGGCAAATGAGTAATTGTTTATAAATATAAAATCTGTGGGTGTTCTGTGGCTTATCAGCTGCTCAGAAGGCTAGCCGGAGAAGATCCAAATCTGAGGCTCGAGTTCCCAGCTTGTCTGGGCTACCAGGCACAAGATGCGAAGCGTCCGGCAAGGAGGGGCCTCACTGGGCTCTGCTCGCACCTCTGGCTGACTCAGGATCCACAAGGATGAGTTCTACATGAACACACCAACAGCTGTCCTCACCTGGAAGCTTGTGTTTCCATACCAGCATATCAGATTTTAGTTAGGTATTGTCAGGAAAAATCTTTGAAGTACTTGCAAGAACAGGTCTGCACGTTAGAAAAATGGATGGCCTGTTCTGACTAGACGTTGGAAAGTAATTATAACCAGTATTGAAATTCATATCCCAATGGAGCATGCAAGGGACTCTCCTTAGTCAGGATTTCAGTAAGACTCTCCAGAGTAGCATTTACTACTTCAACAATAAATGCTTAAAGGATCAGTCATTAAATACAGAAGTATGTCTAACGCTGCTAAAGAAAATTCCAGAATCTGTATACTTTAAAATGTTATGACTATTTATTGCCTAGCTACTTCCCTCTGATTCTTATTTTATTTGTTACTAAAAATATCATTATGATACTCAGTTTATACAATAACATTAACTATATGTAAATATGACAAAAGCCATAACTTTAAAATATAGATAAATGTAGTATGGTTTCTGTGTATTAAAGCACATAAGAACTCAAAATAAACACGTAACTCTAGTGAAGCATGAAATTCTGTAAATAAAATTATAAGTAACTCCATAAAACCAATATATTGGCTTTTCCAGTTATCATGCACAATGAAGTTTTTAAAAGGGCCATTTTAAATGCTAATAGTAACAGCTAATGATATTCTTCATGAGTTCACATGATTTTAGATCGACTGATAATTAAGCATCCCAGATTTTTTTTTTCCTTGGAAGAACAAGTAAAAATGTGTTCTAATGTGTTTTTCCTTTCAAATGTATATATTAAGTTACAGCTTATCTGGATATAAAGTACAACACAAAAATACAGTAACTTACATGTCCAGATCTTCTAACCCTAAAATCTTTATCTCTCTGACAAAAGTTACTACCTTAAACGGTGACAGACATTAATAGCTAAGGTTAAGTATACTTAAGTACACACTTCTTATCTAAGTGCTCAAGGTTTTACTAGGCAATTATCTTTTAGGAATAAAATATGAGTTTCAAAACTCACTTTTCCTCTCGCAAAAGTCTGGATACCCAAAATGGTTATGAGAACTGGTTGTCAGTACTGAGCAGTGTACTGGGTAGTACTCCAAGAAAAATATGAAATATTATCAGATAGCAATATTAGCATTTAATATAAATGAAGTAAGACAATGCAAAACACACAAAGAGCTTACAATCTCTTCTACACAGTCACAGCAAGAAACAAAGGCCGAGGAATGACATTAAAACATAAAGACTACATCAGCTGTAAAAGGTAGTTGAATTTGGCCAGTCATTGCAGTCTATCTACCACTCACGGTATTTTTAGCACATTGCCCTTTTTTTTGACAGTATATGAAAAATGCCCTTTCCATTACACATTGAACTTTTTTCCAGGGTTTTTTTCTTTTCTAGCATAACTACCATGTCCACCCCTCTAACACGAAAGATATGCAAGGTCTCTTTACAGTTGGGATCTCTACAATCTGTGCTCTGCATGTGTCAAATGATGTCTCTGTGTCTCTAAAGTCCACCTCACTAGAACTCTCTCCAGGAAACTTCCCTCATTAATAATTTTGGATGAGAGTGTAAAATGCTGCTGTTCAACACCGATTGAGATGTACTGGTTTGATTCTGTTCCAGTGGGGTACTGCTTAAATCCAAGACTCTTATCACAAAACAATTTGGGTTTTTAATTAAGATGTGGTTTTGATTACAGGCATGAATAGTAATGGGAATTTTGAAAGATTATTATTAACAGGGATTTATAGAATTTGTTGTATTCATTTTCAAGTTCAGTGATGCAAATATATCTGAAACAGTGTTCTAAGTGTAGGCTGACAGGTTTTCCATTTTTCCACTTTTTACCATGTAAACATTCATAGGATTCACACGTGATTTTGGCTACATCGAGAGCATCAGTTCAATTCCAAACACTGCAATATGCAAAGAAGTACAATCAGCTTGTCATAAACAGTTTTTCAAAGTACATACTAACTAAGCTAAATGTTCCTGTTTCTTGCTGTTTCTCTGATGACTCATGATGGACAGAAACACAGAAAAAGTTCTGAAATTACATCGTTCCTGTTTCTTGCTGTTTCTCTGATGACTTGTGATGGACAGAAACAGAGAAAAAGTTCTGAAATTACATCACAATATTTTATGGGATTTACTGTTCTTTAGCACTCACGTAATCATGTCTTCAGGTTCCTTGTTAAGCATCTGGATGTTGGTTAGCATCATGCACCGACCCACTTCCTTGTCAAGGTGTCTGAGTATGTTGTCCACAGCTTTTCTTACTTGAGAATAATATAATGACATACCTGCAATAAGCAATAATACGCATTTTTGTATAACTGGGGATATTTATAGATACATTTCTTTTGAAAAAGAAAGCTGCTTACTCATGCTGTGCTGCATGAATTGAGAAAAATGTTTTCCTCATGAGATGGCATATTCCATCAGTAATGATATCCTGAATCAGAGACAGAATATGTTGCCCTCTCCAAAAAGAATGCTATTGTATGTAAAAATAGCCCAGGTGATATACATATACACATATTTTTCCTAGAGAAAAAATTAAAAAATACCTAGTCAAAATATGTCCCTACACAGTCAAATGAAGCCACACAGTTTGCCAAGTTATACAATATATTTTGTGACTTTTCTTGACAGACGTAAAAGCTCTGATCCAGTAGCACAGTTTAAAAACTACAGGCAGAGAAAAAAAGCAATCTGAATGAGCATCCCCCAAAACTTTTCTGATACGGAAATTAATGGCATGACATGTTATGTGAAAAACAATATTAGACATACAGCTTTATAGTAGCTGATGGACATCAAATCCTTCAAAAATAAAACTTGAATTAACTCTTTGTCTATATTCATCAAAGGCTAAAATTTCATTTTTTAAAATGAAATTGTACATAATAACACTGAACAATATATTTTTAATAATCTATTATCTAGTCAATTCTTTTTCTATTTGATAAAGACAATGTAAGCTTAGAATTTCAAAAGGACATCAATTTTCAGATCAGATATGATCAAAAGTAGAACGGCAGAGTAGAAGGCAAAAGAAAATATAGGAATTATGTAGCTTAATCTTACATGTTATACATAGAAACTAGAATATTGTATCATAAAATAGTGAAGAAATTGCTAATAAAATACAAGAATTCAACAGTGCAAACATTTATTATCAAATGCACAAGGAGTAACCAAAATTAACTGAATTAGTGACAGCACTAAATACTACACTGCTATTTCAACAGCAGTGGGTCTTACATTGCTTATTTTCTTGATATTACTACAGTGATCTAGCAAGAGAACAACACAGGTCTTCGTCACTGGTGTAGAAATATGCAGACTGTTTCATTTATATAACTTTGGGGACTTAATGTGCTAAGGCGAGTAGCCAAATCTTCTTCTTTGCCAGCAAAACCAGGTACCTTCAGGGCATGACGCAGAAGCTCTTCTCCTACAGCACAGGATTCTCCCTCTACATTGACTATGAAGGAAGCCCAAGGTAATGGTGCTTTTAACTTAGGCACTTCAGTTCAGCTTTATTTTACATTTAGAAGTTTCTGTCATTTTGGAAGTTTCACTTGGTGTGACAAACTGTAATTAAAATGAGGATATCAAAGGAATCTTTGCTGATTTTCAAAGCTGGTACATTTTCTGAGCACAGGCACTGTCCCTAATAAGATGAATATCCATGTAGAAACACAGCTATTCAGCACATAAAGAAGCTAACTCTTAACTATCTGTACTTAACCCCACCCGGAACACAGGGCCACTATCACTTGTGGAACACGACTGAGGACTTTTCCTGAAATAATAAAAAAAAAGCAGTACTTGTCAAACTAAACCATACATTTCATTAGAATGCACAATAAAGAAATCACTTGAATACTTAACAATAGGAAAATATTCTGCTCAGGTACTGAAGACTTTTTCACATTCATTCTCATCCAAGTTTCTATATTGTCCATTCTCTTACTGACCTATCATTTTAGCTTCCTCCTCCGTAAGAGTTTTGCTCAAATATGTTTTCTTCACTCTGAGAGTGTTTCCAGAGGGAAGGACAGCTCCGGTCACCGGCATTGGAGGTTCACCATCTTTTTGCTGCAAGCTATCAGCAATTACCAAGAAAGCTCTCAGACCAATATTCATTCTCTGTAAAGCACAGAAAATGAATGAGTATCATAATCAAATAGTCACATTCTACTCATATGCTTCAATCACTTTGAAATTTTGCGTATGCCAGCATTTTTTTCTGTATCTTCACTACATTGACTAGTCTGATAGATTTTACAAAAAATGCCCATGAAATAAATTGTAAATTCATATCTGCACTATGAGCAGTGCTCTCCCCTCTCAAAACTTTCTATTTCTAAGTATTTTCATTAGTACGTTACCTTTTTGCCAATGCCCATGAAATAAATTGTAAATTCATATCTGCACTATGAGCAGTGCTCTCCCCTCTCAAAACTTTATTTCTAAGTATTTTCATTAGTACATTATCTTTTTGCCTTCAGCATAAAACACATGGATATGACCTGGTATCTAGTAATGCATCTTAACTGGATCTTCAGCTAAACACAAATGTCCTATGTGTTCTGTTACAAAAAAAGATCAGTAACTGTCTCAAAAGGCCCCCGGCTTGACCATACTGAGTGAAACGTCTGGAAGTGTGCTCAGCACCGAAACTGCAATGTGAAAACATTAGGAAGATGAGCCTAAGTGACCTGAATGCCTTCTGGGAATTCACTAGAGGAGAACTTGCAGGTTTTGCATTGCAACGATTAAAAGACCAGAATGTTCTCAATTTCCCAGGAATGTGTTCCAAAAGCTCAGAGGCTGTCCTACTGACAGTCTCCCAGAGGTGCACTTACATAGATTCTGGGTCTTTTGTTTAGAATGCTAAAGTCCACATACATCAAAAAGTAGCCTTATTATTTCATTGTTTTCAGACTTACATTGTGGTTGAGAAACAGTAAAATTTCAGATGTTGATTCATCGAGAAGCTAAGGACTACGTCCATTCCCTATAAGCTCGGCTTCGTGCAATGCTAATTTTGCATCGATCCTTGGCAGGACCTTCCTCAGTCAATACCGCAGGTGACTGACCCAGAACGGGGTGGGGACTCCCTGCTCAAGAATTCTGTTTCATTTTTATTTACTCTGCTGAAGAAAGATGACAGCTGTGCTCAAAGTAAAGCTTGCCTTGCACTTCTGCTGCTTTTGAAAGCAAAAAGTTTAATCTACTTTTCCAAATTTTTTTTTAATCAAATACAATTTTTGTAAGGTAACTCATTCTGTTTCAACATATTAGTGAACAGATGTGACTGTTTAATACTGCAAGATCAATACGGACATATTTTATGAGATGATCACAAATGTTTTTTATTTTTTAATGTGTTTGTTCTTTTTAAACGAAAATGTTTTCAAAATTATAAGCAAATAATACATTATTTCCAAGAGAATTTTTCACTATTTAAATTTTACAACTTATTTTGATTTTCTTTAAAATTTTTCAAATTTCTGATTGTTTTCTCTAGGGAAAGCACTAGGAAGCTGACTCATGACACTAACGCTAGTGGAGCTTTACTGGTCAGAGTGGTAAAACTTTATCAGTTTTTTTCTTTTTTTGTCATTTTCAATTCTTCTTGCATCATGCATCTTTTCCAGTAAAACTGCTTTGAAAAACATTGACATTGTTACAGAAAATTTATTTTTTATATTAAAATAGTTTAAGGCATTGCATGTAACAACAGCAGAGTGACAAGGAGATACTGTGATCAGTAGTTCCATTTCTATTTTTCGTTTCATTTTGTACATTTGCACTACTTCACATTTGATAATCTTCACTGAGGAAACATGAGATAGCAGTGAACAATGTGACATTTCACAGATCAAAGTCCACAGATGTATTTTACCAATAAATCAAGTTCAAGATTTGGCCTGAAAATTGGACAAAGGTGAAAGCATTCTTAGAATGTAACCAGAAAGTGAATGTAGCACAAGACAATATACACTAACTCAAAGAAATGCAGATGCACATCATACCTCAGGGTTGAGACTGAAAGCTTTTGCTGGTTTCCCGACACAAAGGAAGTCAAAGATAATTTCTTTCATTGCAAAATCTAAACGTTCCTAAAATAGTAAAAATATTGCAAATCATGAAGCTGCTCACTTCTGCTACTTGTTTTCTTTCAGGAAACAGAATATTGAAAAGCAGTTTAACCAGCATTTATTTAAATGCACAGAAAACCAGTTTTTTTTCAGAAGTATGCAGAACATATTATCAGATCTAAGGTTTCAATACTGCTGTATGTTGACAAATTCAAAAACTGACAGCATTTAAATAGAAAATGATCCATTTTGAAAATAAAGCTTTTAATTATTTCATTTAAACTGTGGTAATTATGGTACTAAGATAGTATTTTACACAGAAAGAGCTTGTTCACAGATGGCACAGTTCAGGGAAGATTTTAAGCATCTGTTTAATTCATTCCTATTCAGAGACTTTAAGTATGTGCTTAAGCGCTTTGCTCAATGGGAATGTTTTCTGAATTTAAGTAATAAAAGAGATGAAAATTCCAGCACTGAAGGTTAGTTTATTTTAGCAATTCCCATTTGAACTGTTGAAAACTAAATGCGACAACTACATGCTGAACTTGGTTTTCCTCTGTCTGACTTACTGCTTTAAAAGCAGTGCAACTCATTGTCCTATATAGTAGGAATGATTCAGTATTAGGACAAAATTTGGCTTATTATTCTGAACTTTATTGACAGTCAGAGCCTGTCAACAAATGCATTTTCTGACTTGCTGGCAATTCCAAAAACTGACAAAAAATACATTTGAATTGAAGTGAAAACACTTTCATCTGTTTTCACGGTAATGACATTAATCAAAACCTGTTGTTCAAAAAAAGTCTGCCCCAGCTCAATCTATAATTTTATCATTGCCTAGATGAAAGATACTGACAATGGGCTTGCAAAAGATTCAGACAGTATAAGTTTATTTATTTGTTAATTTGTTATTGGGAAAACAAGTTATTCATTAATTGGAAAGACATATGCGTGGTTCCCCCATACCTGTGCAATAAACTGTATTATCTTCACAAAGATGTTTAGAGGCATATCTCTTGGCACAACACCACGGGACCCTTTTGGGAAAAGTGTTGTGACAATAGTAATAAGTCGACTGTAAAAGAAAGAAAAAAAGCATTAGACATTTCCAGATGTTTCAGACCTTTACTTATCACGAAATGTAAGGGGGAAATCCTGCTCTGTTTAGAAAGATTAGAATTTATTTCCTTTGAAATGAAAATGCAATGGGGTATCTTGTTCCAATCTTTTGCTACAAATTCAGTGTAATTATTTTATTTTGTTTCTACACTATAAGTAACAATAAATCAGTTGATGACATGCCACTACAAAAAGTATTTCTAACTTTAACTAGGCAAAGAGTGATTTCTAGTTCTTCCAAAACCAGAAACAGTTTATACAGTAGTTTTAATAGGTGGGAGAACAAGTGACGGTGCCACAAAAGGGAATATTTTCTTGTGTACAGTTGAGTTTTCTATTTCACAACAGGAACAGGTTCAATTCAAAGGAATTCAGGAGAACTACAAAACCTCTTCACTGGCAACATCCACTCTGCAAGGCCTGATTATCATTACAAATACAGCACCTTACCTTTGGGTAGCTGTGTTGCTTTCACATTTAATTCTGATCATGTAAACCCACAGTAGTCTGTACAGAGATTCCAGTGCAACTCGAGCCATTTTTGGGTCCTTATTCTAGAGAAATACATAATGTAAGAATAAGCTTCAGGCACAAATTAGAAAGGAAGTTTTGCGCTTAATCGATGTCAAGGTTCAGAGTTTTCATTACGACACTGCAAAAAGGTACAGCCTCACAGCTGCCCAGTACCCCATTCCTGTAGCTGCAGGACGCTTATGCATCTGACCTATCCCTCCTGGTATTAAGTTGTCAAAAAACCCAAGTATCAAGTTAGTTCAATTAGATACATATTACAATTTAAAACCTCTATTCGAAAGCCACCTCAATTTGACTCTGAAAAGAAAACCTCATTTTCAGTTGATTCTGTTAATTTGAAAGCTGTTGCTCTGTAGTGGAGATTTGGTATGAAGAAGACAGCAGATAAATGTACTGTACATATTCAAAAATGAAAGGGCAAAAATCTGTGGATGCTTAGGCTGGCCTAATTAACATGGCATCTGGGATCAGCTGAACTGAATTGGATTGTCTGTCTGGATTGCTGTTTATTTTTGGAAAGTTTTGAAGTAGTACAAGATTGTCTTTGGGTCTCTTTGGTCATACGTGGTTTTTCTGTTTCTGTGGTGGTTTTAAGGGCTTTCTGAGTAGGGTGCAAGTCTATACAGTCCAATCACGTGGTCTCCTGCATGGTGGGCCATCCACTGGGTTAGACTTTGAAGGAGTCCAGTACACTTTGACCCGAGATAAGATTTGCCTGGCCCACACTTCAAATCTCCACGGCAAAGAGCTGAATTTTTGTCTGCAGACAAATGTTGAGTCACAGATCAAAGACTGCAGCTTGATCAAAAAAAGTGCAACCAATGCCATCAATAATTCTTGAATGTGTATTGGTCGAGGTCCTGCAAAATGGAAGGAAGACAACCCACCAATGATACGGGATATGGCTCCAACTTCCAACGTGTTGGAAGTTCCAACTTCCATCTGTCACGTCACAAGCTTAGGAATAGGAACACTGTCCTTGGGTTGCAATTTCCGCTGAACTCCTTGACAACATATTTTATACAATAAAGTTTTATATGGAACAGAAAATTGAAAATTGAAAATCTTTTTTGTTTATTATAGCGGCATACAATGGTTGTAGCACATGATTAGTATAAGTAGTAAAAGGAATGCCAAAGTTTACGTGGCCTATTAAACCTTGCAGGATTTTAAAATCATAACAATTGTTAAAATCGATTTGTTTAATAACCTGTTTACTTTCGATCCATTTTTCATCAGGTTTCATCGTGTCAGTCCTTGTAAATTTCAGTCCTAAGAATTTGATTTCTTCGACAGGTGATGGAGTACGTTTATCAAAAGTTATTCTTATCCCACAGCTTTCAAGAAAACAGCAGACACTGTGGCTAACTGAGTTAAGGTAACAAGAGCTTGTGTGGCAGAGGAGGAAGTCATGCTTGTAAGTAAAAGTCCAAATATTCCAGCGACGACATAGTTCAGCTGCAAGGGCAGCTGAGAAGAGATGGAGGAGAAAAGGGCTGAGACTGGTATCACTGGAGCTTTCTGAAAATCGTAGACCAGTTTTCCGTCAGAAACAGCAGCTGTACAGCAGAACCAGGATTAAGAAGAACATGATAAAAAGCCTGAGAAACATCCAGGGAAATCATGGGCATGTCCACGGGTAAGTTCTGTGCAAGCGCATGATGGCTGGGTGCCGAGTACTTTGGAAAGCACGTAGCGTGTCTCCCTTTGGAAAACTGAGAGAAGTTCACCACCAATTGAGCCTCTTTAGTATTTCGAGGAATTTTGTCAGCAAGAAAAACCCAGCCAGTAATCCCATTGGGATGAGGAGTATTTGGCCTACTATATCTGACATCTTCTTCATTTTCCCAAGAGGACGTATTAGCACTGCATGTGATTCCTTTACTACTGCAGGCAGTGCCCAACACACTGTTGGTGCCTAAGAATTTGTTGAAGTTGATGTGGACCTTTTGAACACAGGAGCAGCTGGCCACAGAACTCTGCCAGGACCTGCTCTGTTTCTTGATTGATAAGTGCTGCTGGCTTTTATCCGTTGTTGTTGCTCTTCTAGAAATTTATTTTTGAATGCTTCTGCCTCTTCTTCTGTGATTGCTGGAGGAGCAACTGGCTTGCCAGGAGTGAGGTCCATTTTCTTTAATTCCTCCATTTCTGTTTTCCAATAATATGGCGTTAAGTCTGGCCCATTCAGGCCGAAGGGATACCGTGTTGGTACTCATGGATTCATTCCTGATACTGGCATTGTTTGACCCATTCTTTGTAAAGTTCTGCACCCTTGTCTCAAATTGTACTGGAGCTTTCTCCTTGTCCCATGGGGTTTGGAGACAAGGAACTGTTGCTCCCACTGAAAAATTTTGCCTCTAAATGAAACACAGTGCTTTGACTCTCTCTTATACAGAATTCCTACCTTGAATAGTTTTTTGTAAATAAAGTTTAGTTAACGATATATGTTCCATTTCAAAACCAGGACACTTATTAACTTTTACACTGCTTTCAACAGGACAGTATGAAATGCCCTTTGGCCAGAATTTGGCCAGGGTCAAATATTTCCATGTCCTGGCAGGAGTTTCCTCCATTAATTCAAGAGAAAAGTTTGTTTCTGTAAGATCAGAGATTTGCCAGTTTATATTAAAATCGGAAATAAGATTAGAATATAAACGTTTTCGCTTTCCCAGTGTATACTTGACCTTAATGGTTTTGGGAAGGAGATTGGGAGGCTCTTGAGAAACCTGATCCATTACGTGGTTCATGGGAGCCCAAACAACACCGTAGAATCCCATATACTGTCCTGGTGTGCTCAACTCTCCTTCTAACAGAAGGATTTCTCCTTCTTGTTGATCTAGCTCTTCTTTTAGCTGCGTGAGTTTGGTTTGGGCTTTGAGGTGCCACTCTGACTGGTGAAGTGACTGCTTCAATGGTTGGAGCAACTGTTCCTCTGTACTGAGAAGCTGTGGCCAACCATCTTCTTAATTTAGCCACTTATTCAGCTACCTTCCCTTCTCTGCAAACTAAAGACTGAATGTGCCACTACATTAATCTACGAGCCCAATGAATAGAAGTATACATCAATGAATTATAGGTGGCAAGGTGAATTCCAATTTGATTTTCAATTGGTAAGGTAGGAGCAACTTTAGTTGTATTTTCTTTAATTGTTTCAAATAATGGGTCAGGATCTCCCTAATTTTTGGAAAAATCTATATTCCCACCTCAGAGATCTTACAGCTGTAGCCACCTTTTCTAAAGCTTGCATAACCTCATAAAACCCCATAAAATTAGTTGCAATAGCAATACGTTTATTTTCTGAGTCTCTTTGCAAATAGGGTTCTAATACACCTTCAGCAAAAGTAAGTGATTCAGGTACAGGTGGAAAGAAATCTTCGGATAGACTATGAACATTTTAAAGAGCTATTCTACCAGTAGGATCCATATGAAGAGAGTCAATACAAGTTGTTTCATTAAGACAGAGACAAAGCACAGCAAGAAAGCAACAGCAATAAAGGATGTAATATATACCTTGTCAACAAGCTTGGGAATTCAACTTTTGGAGAACAGAGATTCCCTCCACAGTTTGCCTCTGAGCTGAGAAAGTGGTTGCGTGTTCTACCTGTGCTGTTTGTAGAAGCCTCCTAACCACTGGTTCATCAAGCAGCAGTTCGGAAGCCCTTCATTTGAGCCAACCACTTCACTGTGCTTCTTATATTGGCCTTTCAGGTAGTCACAGGACCGTCCTTTCATATGGATTCATTTTAAGTGTGGAATGGGACATGAGTTATTGCGCAAGTAAAAGAAACATGGAGAAGTAGTACCGATAACTAGCATATGTGTATTGAACAGTATGTGCTGGGCAGGTGCCACAGAAGGTTGCAGTGGACAGTTAGTCTTAAACTTTGAAGACCTAACAAATGGTAAAGGAATAAGAATGGATACGTGGAGGAAACAACTTAAAATACTTTAGATTTTTTTAAAGCAACTTAACAGAGTGAAACAGGCAATGGAATTGGCATCCTGCAACGAGTTCCATTCTGATACAGTAATAACAAGTGCTTTGCTGGAGAATGCCCTTGTGAAAAAAACATAAGTTAATATTGGGCCAGTTTTGGTATGTCACTCAAGTTAATAACTTTCATCAACAATCTTGCCTGTTTCACAGCTGTTTGACTCAGCCTTGGTTTGAGTTAG